CAGGAAGTTAACAACAACCCTGAGCCAAACCACCACACTTAAGTAAATTAGCAGAATATAAAGTGGACATTAAAAATCAGCACTTTTTGTAGGTTTAATGAAGAAAGTAGAAACACTGAGTTCACTGAGTAAGAACTGAGAATCCACACAGTGGTATGAGAAGGGCACGCGGCCGAGCTCCAGGGGGAGTCTGAAGGGCACAGGAGGTGTCTCACCAGCCCCCTAACACTGACGTGCTTGCAGGAGAACCCAGGGTGTGTGTACTGGGGGAGAGGGGCTGTCAGTGTGGTTCTCCTGCCACTGCAGCAGCCCAGGGGAGCTGAGGGAAAGCTGCCACCCATCTGGGAGGGCTGTTCTGCTGGGGGCCAAGGAAGCTGGCAGTGAGGAGCGTGTAGGGACCCAGGAGTACTCATATCTAGCCACCTTCATCATCACCTAGGGGGCAACTCTGTCCTCCCAGTCTCATGCCAGCTCCTCTGGCCAACCCTAACACAGATACACACAAAGAAAGAAGAGGCCACATAGGGAAAGGTGCTCTGGGGTCCATCAGGCCCACTGGAACTAGCCTGGCACAGTTCAGCTGCACAAAGGGCACGATAGCTGGCAGGGGGTTAAGGTAGCCTGTAGGAGAACCAGGAACGTGACTGTGCTTGCTACTTTGCACAAAGAAAATAAACATTGTAAAAGTTAAAATGATTCAAATAATCTGATACTGCCTCAGAAATAAACAGATTTGATGGAACAAAATAGAATGTCCAAACATAGTCACCACTGGAATTTTTGGGAATGATGTTGTAATAACAAAACCTTCTCTCATTTTCAAAGAGGAAAAGCCCTTGGGTTTACTATCTCCCAGCATATTTGTCTGCATATCCAATAGTGTGACTGTCAGCTGTGTTTTCTGGCAACGTTGCTTATAGTAAAACTGACCCCTGGTGAGTAAACTGCCCATAGGCTGGGAGGATAGATCTGGGCAGCCTGCTGGGAGGCAGTGCTCCTGGCTTCCCTCTGCAGGCTGACTCTGGCAGCCGAACCCATCCTTCCCCACAGGGCCCTGGAAGAGGCGTTCATGGCTCCTTTGGAAGCCGTGTTGGGCCCAGCAGTGGTCTTGGCTCCTCTTGTCTTGTTCCTTAGACCTGCACTGCTGAGAATGCCCTGGCCATGACACAGCTGAATCTCTTGAGCTGACTCCTGTCATTCCTGTCCTGTGTCTGTAGACCTGAGTCCCACTGTTGCTAGGTGTGCCCATCTGGTCTTGTGAGGGTCCTGCTGACCCGAGACCACTGCTCCCATTGAGCAGAGTGGACATTGCAGGTGACACTGCCAGCACTGCCTAGTGGCAGGAGATTGCTCGGTAAAGTCCATGAGACAGCAGGCTAATCAGTTGATCTTTAGAATTAGAAAAACAACATGAGTTTCCACCCCATCCTACCATATGTCCATAGGGATTACATGAGGGGTCCTCAAAAAGTTCATGGAAAATACATACTACAGTACTGCATGGATTATTAAGTGTTTTTTTTTTTTTGCCAAAACTTTTGATTCCATTTTCTATTCATTTTGGAAACACCCCACTATATAAGCCCTTCGCTTCTCCTGGCAGAGACAAGGGGGGAAACTTGGGCTTTGTGAAGTGCAGGGTGAAGCCAGCCTGCTGGAGAGCACTCAGGCCTACAGGCCGGGTACTCCCCTGTGTCTGATCCTTGCAGCACGCCCCTGCCTTGTCTGTCTCCACACACCCCTGCCCCCACTAGCCTTCGCTTTCTGCCTGCTGAACTTGTTTGCCTTCTGCACTGGTTATCCCAGCGGTCTGTCTGCTCCCAGCTTCCTGTCCGGGTGGAGGTAGGGCTGACCTCCTTTCTGCTTTGCTCCTCCTCAGAAAGAACACTTGATTTTCCCAGATCTTCCTGTCTTTCCTAAGCACAACCCAACTTTATTTTAAAGCTTCATGTTGGCCATAAAGGAAAACAAAATATTGATTACACCAAAGTGTAAGATGAATTTACCAACACCATATAAAGTAAAAAGAAAAGTGGCAAAGGCCTAATTCTATCTTCAAAATGCTGACAATTCAGTAAGAAACCTAAGACACAAGTTTGTAAAAGGTATGCCAAGAATACTACAAAAGCAGTTCAGAAAATAAAATAATCCACAGTTAGTATATGAAAAGATAGACCTCAGCCCTACCAGTCTGAATTTTTCATCTGAATTGAGAGGAAATACCAAGTTTAAAGCAGCTGTCGGATGCTGGGGTCCTCCCCCATCTGGTAGAGACCTTTGGGGGCGACTCCTCAGTGTGCGTTAGGACAGGTGTACCCTACAGTCCGCAAACGCCACGTGTACAGTTCTTCCCAGTTCCTAAAAGGGCAGGGCGTCCTTGGAGGAAAACTTTAGACGTCTCCACGTGAATCCTCTGCGGGACACAAACCTGAACTGTTAAACTAACCAACACTGAGAACGGCACTTCTGCGTGTTAACATGTCCCCGTGTCTCTTTTTTCTCAGGCTTACCAAAGAGATCCTCTAGAAAATGAGTGGGTATGGGAAGAGAAGAGAAGAGATTAAAGAGAGGGGAAAACAGTTACCCTGTCATTTAACTCTGATGAATTCATCAGGATATTTTTAGGCTTGGATAATCTCCGTGAAATACAGAGTCAATGTAAATGGTTCATCACCCATTCCAAAGCTGGCTTTATCTGCGACTCGAAGGTAATGCTTTCCAACCTTTCTCATGTCAGGACACACAGACACACAGCACCATTTGTGGAGCACAGCGGGGTGAATAGTACAGGCTGCTGTGAGACGGGCTGGCCTCCCCAGGGTCTGGCAGGTACACCAGATGTGCCCAGCGGGAAGCCTTTGAGCACTGGAGTTCTGTGTGTGTTGCACTCCCCCTGGCGGTCAGTTTCACGTCCTTTCGCTTCCTTCTTTGCTCAAGTTACTAGTCCTAAAACAAAATAATAATGTCTCAGGGCTTAACTCATACTACAAAATATACCAAGCATCTCCATACAAACCAAAACAAATATTCCATAAGTATGTTATTGGAAACACTTCTTCCACCTGTCTGAGGTGTGTTTAAGAAACCTGTTGCATGCAGTGACTGCTTTGCAGGAAACAGCAGGCAGCCTCGACTGGAGACTCGACCCGGGGCAGTGCCAGCCTCCTCCTGTCCTCGCCTATGCCGGAGCAGACCACTGAGCCCGAGGTACCGTTTATTGGCTTGCTCGTTCTTCTGTCCCCTTGCTAGACTCCATTCTGGGGATCTGATCACCTGACTGTCCTTACTGAAGAGCCAAGTGGCTATGCTAATTTCATTCTCCCATTAGCTTGCCGTCACCTTGTGTCTATAAGATGGCTTTGAAGTCAGAGCTTCAGCACTGTGAGTGCATGTCTCATGAGTGGTGTGGTTACTTTGATAGCTGCTCAGCAGTTTTTGGGTCTTGGCCACAAACCTGGGCAGAAGGAACTGTGTTAGGGCTTCAGGTTCTCTCCATGCAAGCGCTAAGTGGTAAAAGGGGACAGAGTGATTTACAGATGGTTGCTGAAATAGGGAGGGAATGTTGAAATTTTTTCCATCCATATAATAAACAGACTTAATGTTTTTTATTAGAAATTCCTAAAGTGTATTAAAAGCAATGAGTTGTGAAATCTAATTTTAAATTCATGGAAGTGTGCTGCCATCTTGTGCCTATAAAAATTATTGCAGGAGTTATGCTCCTCCCCCAAGAATTATTATACTCAAGTAGACACCTTAAAGCATAAATGAATCTCTAAGACATGGTAGCTGCCAGAAAGACTTCATAATTTATTTTTCATTTTCTCCTTTTGAATTCTATTTTCCGAAATGCTGTATGAACTTTGGCAGTTAAAGTTTTTTAACCTCATAAAACCCTCATTGTTTGAAATCATTCCTTTTTATAGCATCTTTACTCCATGTATGCAAGATTTTCTCGCCTTGAGGGATTACTTCTATTTTATTCATAACATGTATTTTTGTATGAGTTGTGGGAGTGGGGTATGAGTAGAGATCCTCTGTCCACTGGTTAACTCCCCAAATCACAACAAAAGCCAGGCCTGACCCAGCCCAAAGCTGGGATGCAGGAATCCACCCCAGTTTCTCAAAGTAGCAGACACCCAAGTACGTGGGCCATTTTTTGATGTTTTCCCAGACAATTTGGAGGGAACTGATTTGGAAGTGGAGCAGCCAATACTCGTGAGAAGTTGGTATCACAGGCAGCTTAATATGCTGTGCCACAACACCAGCCCCTCTGTGGTGTTGTCTCACATTTCAGAGGTTCTGCCCAGGTGTCTGCCTCTGAGGTGACCTTCATACTAATGGCAAGGTGCCAGGCACATGGGCTTTGGCGCTTCCTTGGCCAGCATGGGCTAAATCTTTGGAAACCCCCAACTTCAGCCCCTGTAGGAACTTCCAGGAGATAGGATTCTCCTCCGAGGTGACCCTTTCCCTCCTTGCCTAGGGGAATGAAAGTGGTGCCCGTTGCCACAGATGTGAGATTGGGGTAGCCTCGATCTGAGTGAGATGGCATTTCTTTAATGATAAGCCCAGCCAGAATCAAGAGTAAACTCTCAGGTGCCTTCCCGTGACTATGAATAGACAGGACCTGTATGTTCCTCTTCAGGTCTTGTTTTGGGGCTAATATCCTAATTTCCTTCTAGTTTTAACTTTCTCATTTGCCCTTTTCTGAAGAGACTCAATTGGAGTGAAGAACTCCGACTTTCCTGCACTTTCATCAAAGTTGGTCAAAGCACTTCCTTTGATAGAGACAGCCCCTTGTCAGATCACATTGAGGCTGCTGTTAGATAAAGTCCCCAAGCAACTGGCGGGCTAGTTACCATCTATATTTTTACAATTTATTTTTTAAAACTGTTTAGACTTAGCAGCTCAAGAGCAAGCTAGATTTCTTTCCAAACCCAATCTTTTTCACTCTTGATTAATCAGTACTGGTACGTATTACTTCTAGTTTTCTAACATGCAAATCTGACAGCCTCTTATATTTCACCTAAACTGTTGTTGTAAATGAACATGGTAGCATATTGTTCTCAGTTTCTTTCCAGTTGCATCAATCCAACATTCATTCTTTGGGTTTGATTATCTGAATGAGTCGCAGAACATTTTGTCTTTGATTCCACAGCAAATCATGGACAACTTTCCCAGTCTCTCTGAAATCCAGAAACATTAAAAAAAACAGGAGTTCCCTGAGCTTCCAATCTAGTATTTTTTTGTAGGAACAAAGAGCGAGTCCTGTAAGGAGCACAGCTGGTCCCACCTACTAATTGATGAGAACCAAGCCAGGACCAGCATGCTCAGGTGCTCTCCAGAATGCACCTCTGTCCACTTCAAGTACTTACTTGATCATCTTCTCTAGATTGCCCTGAAAATTACTTCCCAATTCATGACAATGGTTGGCTTGAGGCTGTGGGCCCAGTTGGTAGTCTCCGTTAGCACATCCTTACCTGTCAGGGGCAGTAAGCCGTACGTGCTTTTCTCTCCTGTTTAGTATTTATTGTGCTGTTCACAGCATTAGCCTGTGCTCTGATACTAACTTGTGGTACTGACTACTGCAAGGAGCACCACAGTCTTGATTACATCACCAAAAAGTAGACACAGTCCTACTTTCCGTGAACACTTTCCAAAGCCCTGTGGCACTACTTACAATTAAACAATAAATTATATGTACCTGTCCTGGTGAAAAAGCTATGAAACAATACTAAATGAAAAGGAAGACAGAATAGTAGTAGGTCAGTTGGGATTTTTTTGGTACTGACAGAAAAATTCAAGGCTATTGTAAACATTAAAATGGATGCTATCATAACATCAAGAATATCTTAAAGAATGAACCTTAGGGTACAAATGAACTTGGCCTTACAAAGGATGGAACTGAAAGCTGGAAAAATTTGAGAATCCGGAGTAGTTGTCCCTAGCTCTCATCTTCATTTCTTTTCATGCATAAGCCTCACTATTCTGTCTCCAAGGAGTTGGCTAACTGTTCTGAGTTTCCAGCCCCCAGAAAGATTGTCTCAATTCAGAAGTTCCTGGAGTAGAGGGGAAACGCTGGGTCGGTCCAGCTTGGCTCAGGAGCTGAGGCAGAATTCACCTCAGGGTCCCACTGCTGAGACCAGAAAGGCACCTAGGAGAGTGGATAGGAGTTTTGAAAAAATTCCTCCACAGATGTTTTCTAAGAGACTTGTAACAGCCAGTTTTCCTGCTCTAAGACAAACTTATGTCCAGTTTTTATCTGCAGGGAACGTCTGAGAGCAGGAAGTGGCACGCTATCCACGTTATTTATCCTCCAGACAAGCTCAAGGTAACAAAGCAGCCATAGTAACACCTAAAGATATCAATGCTGTATTTACCAGCAAATGCAGGAAGCATGATGAACAACCTAGGCAGTGTAGCCTTCTGTTCCACTGGAAGGCTGCTAGAACGTGTCTCCAGGCTTGGGGAGATGCTAGACTCACTACAGCGAGTGTAATTGAGGAGAGAAATTCTTGAACACAGAATTCTAATAAATCCAACAAATCTATTACAGTTAGCTTGATTACCTACAAAAGGCATGAAATAAATACAAACAGGTGAAGCAATCTTGATTATAAAAATAAAATTTACATTTACTTATTACATACAAATTTTGCTTTTCCACCAGTAAGTTACATATAAAGTGGTAAGAATTCTTAAAAACTCACATTGTATTCCTATCATCTTAAGTCTCTTATTTCCCTCCCACAGTTGGACTGGATCTTACAATGCATATGCACATTGATTAAATATTTGCTTCCCCTAAAAGGCTGTTACAGATTATCTTAAATTCAAGACATAAAGTATGTCAGATGAATAACGCTGTGTGTTTGCTGTATCAGCAATGCTTTGTTCCACACAGTTCTCCCAGTCTTGCCTACATGCCTGGTGACCTTGAAATCAAAACCATGTTGTATTCCTGAGCATGATACCCCTTTCCACTGCTGTTAAAATACATTTTTGAATTGGCCTCAGCAAAGTATATTTTGAATGAAGCCCAGCCTCCCAAGGCTCACGGCCTATGTAGCTATGTGCAAGCGAAAACTAAATGATTAAATCAATTGTCCTGCCGCCCTCTAGCCAGTTTAAATAATTAACAGGTAATTGTCTTGCCCTGCTAGAGTTTCAATGTGTTTTTCCTTTAGTGAGCAGTCACCTGTGCCACACTGACGAGATGTTTCCTGTAACTGGGCTCCATGAAAGGATGACTGACAGCAATGAAGCAGGTTGTAGAAATGCCGTACACATCCCAAGCGAGTAAACATGTTTGTGTATGTAAAAAATTTACATGGGGTGGTAAATTATTGCCAAGTCAGTAATGTATTTTTAAGTACTAAAGACAAGACCTATCTGTCGTACTGCCATCATTCCACCACCTGTCAAACTGCCTAGTACATTGTAGGTATTTAACAGAGTATTAAACGCAGATGAGTAAATATTAAACAGTGGCATTTTCAACATCAAGGTGGGCCAAAGACTAAAACTGTCCATTTCAGTACAGGGGGCAATGTTACCATAAGATGCACGTTCTTGTAGGAATGACAGTTTGAACATCAGGCAAACACCACTATCACATAGAAAAAATGAAGTACAGTTAGCAAACACTGCAGGTTGTCTCCCTTTTGGAGACAATAAGACTCCTAAGCCCTGAGACAGAAGACACTGGTCCACCTCCAGCAGCTGCCAAATGTTCCTTTTCCAGCCGAGGGTCTTCATATAGAACAGTAAGTGTACAAAAGCTTCTGAGCCATCGCAGTGTTCCCGCTGCTCTGGTAAATAAGGGACAGGTTGTAGGCAATGTCTCTCCGTAAGTCTAACTGGTCAGCTTCTATGCCCTGGAGAACAACACAAATATTTTTACATTTTTAAACTGCCAAAAGAGCAATTTTATACCAAATAGTTTCAGTATGGGCTTACAAAACTCTTCATGTAATAGTGAAGCAAAGTGTACCATGAAACAAGGAGCTCATTCAGTTAGTGACAGTAACATCAAATATCTGTAAATATCTAACCAGTAAGCCATAGGATAAGACCTGCTGACAATCCACAGAATAATAAACCTAAGAGGAAGTCTGACGTAAGAGCGGGGTCTGCGGGGTACAGCAGGTTTGGCCACCTGTGACACCTGCTGCCTCCACAGCTGCTGCTAGTCCAGCTCCTCCAAATCCCCTGGCAGAGCAACCAAAATGGCCAAGCATTTAGTTGTCCGTTGTGCTATAGGAAATCAGATGTTATTCCCCTTGCACAGCTGTACCCTCTGCACTAGCCATGCCTCACTCCTCTCCCCCGGCTCTGATGCCCACTATTCTCTTGTTGTTTGAGATCAAATTTATCCTCCCACATACAAGTGGAAATAAGTGGTGCCTGGCTTAATTCACATTATATAATATCCTCCAGTTGTGTCCATGTTGTTGCAAATAATTGAATTTCATTGGTTTTATGGCTGATATGTGTGGTTTAAAATGTTTCTGAGCGAACAATTTAGAGAGAAACTCATTTTGGCACGAAAGCTGTTTTGAGATCCATATACAGCTTTTTCATAATACTCATTTCCCCATGAATTGCTGAAGACCACTGTTTGCATCAATTGCACAAATTTCTGGCACCAAAATTTTTAAATTGTGAACATAGCCATGGCACATTTTCTTAGTCCCTGCACCTGTCAATGGACACAAGTTGGTATCATATCTCGGATATTGTGAATAGTGCCACAGTAGGCATGTTAGTGTAGATGGCTTTACGTCTCCTTTTCTTTGGGTATATATCCTGTAGTTGGATTGCGAGATTAGATGGTAACCCTGGTGCCCTGGGGAACTGCCATACAGTTGTCCTGATTGGCTGTACTCTTCTACCTTTCTAGCAACAGTCTAGTTGAGTTGCCCTTTCTCTGCACCCTTGCTAACAGGTAGCTTTGCTTTTTTCCTTGCTGATAACAGCTGTTCTGACTACGATGAGTTGGTATCTCCTACCGGTTTTGATTTGCCTTTCCCTGATTAGTGACGTTAAACATTTTTATGTATTTGCTGGTCATTTGTGTAACTCGTCTGGAGGTCTGTTCAGATCATTTGCCCAATTTTACCTGAGTTATTTGGTGAGTATTTTTGTTGTTGCCAAGTTATTAAGAGTTCTTTATGAATCCTGGAAATGCTGTTGAATGAGTAATTGAAAAATGTCTCATTCTGTAGGTTGCCTCTTCACTCCTATTTCATTCTTGTTTCGTTTGCTCTACAAAAGCCACTTAGTTTGGTGCAATCCCAATTTTTGCTTTTCTTACCACTACTCTGAAGTTTACATACAAAAATATTAGCCTAGACTAACGAACGTTCTGTAGTCTTCCCTCTAGTGGCTTCCAAGTAGCAGGTGTAAACACTGAAGTGTTGGCGTTGATTCTGCATGTGGGGACATGCAGAGTGGGGAGACGGATCCAGTTTTTTTTTTAAGATTTATTTTTATTGGAGAGGCATAAATACAGAGAGGAGAGACAGAAAGATCTTCCGCCCGATGGTTCATTCCCCAAGTGAGTGCAACGGCCGGAGCTGACCCAATCCGAAGCCAGGAGCCAGGAGCTCTTCCAGGTCTCTCACGCAGGTACAGGGTCCCAAGGCTTTGGGCTGTCCTTGACTGCTTTCCCAGGCCACAAGCAGGGAGCTGGATGGGAAGTGGAGCTGCCAGGATTAGAACCAGTGCCCACATGGGATCCTGGCGTGTGCAAGGTGAGGACTTTAGCCACTATGCTATTGTGCTAGGCCCAGGGGATCCAGTTTTCTAAGCATTATGTATTGAAGAAATTTTCCTTTCTCCTATGTATTTCTTGCTTTTGTTAAAAATCGGTTGACTGTAAATAGATGGATTTGTGTTTTCTATTCTGGTTGGTCTGTTTTAATGTCAGTAGCATGCTAATTAGACTACTATATAATATTGCAGTATTTGTCATGTATTATATCTCCAAGCTTTGTTGATTTTGTATAGGAATGCTTTTGTTGCTGAAGTGTGATTCCATTTACTTTTAGGATTTTTTTTCCTACTTCCTATGAAGAATGTCACTGATATGCCAATAGCAATTATGCTAAATCTGTAGTTAGCCTGACATTATATGGAAGTTGTAATAATATTATTACAGTGAACATAGAAGGTATTTCCATCTTCCTGTATCCTCTTTCATCAGTGTTTATAATATTCATACTAGAGATAATTTATTTCTTGGTTAAATATAATCCTAGGTAATTATTCACTTGTAGCTATTCTAAATGATACTGCTTTTAGTTTCTCCCTTTGAATTTTCAACGTTTGATATATACAAAACCTGAGGGCTTTTGTATCCTGGGACTATTGAATTTTTCGTTCCTAATGGAGTCTTGAGGTGCTGATTATATACATTTATATAATTATATATAATCATTTATTTTATAGACAAAAGATAATTTGACCTTTCCTGTTTGTGCACCTTTTATCTCATCCTCTTTAACTACTATGGTCAAGATTTCCAATACTCACGGAGAGTGGCTATCCATTACTAATTTGAGGACTACCATGAAGAGATAATAGTTTTACCAAGTGCTTTTTCTTCATCATTCTGTTGATATGATTTACGTATCAGTTTCTGTATATTGAACCTTCCTTGCATCCCTGGGATTAATATCACTTGATTGTGGTGTATAATTTTTGTGTTGTTAGACTCCATGAGAAATTTTGCCTTGCTATTCATCAGGTTATGTTGCTGTGTCCTTGTCTGGTTGTGCCATGAGGATAACAAGAAGAATGCTGGCCTTATACAAGGTCTCCTTCCTGTTCAGTACTTTTTTTAGCAATCTGAGAGGAAGTGGCATTGATTCTTTAAAATTTAACAATAAAGCTATCAAATTCTAACTTTATCTGGGCTTTTTGCTGGGAGACTTGATAAGTGGTTGAATCTCATTACCTGTTACTGGTCTGTTCAGGCTTTCTATGTCCTTATATGAAAGGACTTCAAAAATCCATAGAAAATAGAAGATGTTGATTTGGTGTCAATTATTGAAAGAATTCCACATTATGGTGTAAGTCAACAGACTGCTGGTTCACAAACTAATGTGGCAATCAAAATTAGAATTCCAGTAAATTCTGTAGATGAGGGAAGCTAAGGCATGTTTCATTAAAGCCTGTGTTGTTAAGAGAAATCTGACTAAAAACTAAGGTGGTGGAATAAAAAGGGAATTTTAAGTTTTCCTAAAAATTGAGCATTATTATCAGAAGCACACTGATCCAAAATCAGTAATTTTGTGTTATTCAAATAGTTTTCTTGAAGAGCTAATCTGTTCTTTGAAGGGCAGAGAAAGAGGCTTTTTGTCTGCTGCTTAAATCCCCAGAGATTGCCATCAGCTAGGATCGGGCTGGCCCCAGGAATGTCCCACACGGATGGCAGGAACTCGGGTATTTGGGCTGTCTTTCACCGACTCCTCAGGTAAATTAGCAGGGAGCTGGGTCAGAAACAGGATTCCAACAAGCACTGTGACAGGATGCCAGTGTGGCAAGCAGCAGCTTAAAATGCTGTGCCCGTAACAGCAGCCCTAGTGATCTGTCCTTAAAGGAGAACCTTACAGCATCCTGGTAAGTACCGTGCACGCTTTGTGCCGTTTTGTTTTTACTTCATGATGATGTGTGATGTTTTAGTAGCTCTTGGTTTTTCATACAAAGCAACCAAATTACACATATCAGGCTTCTCTTGATTTGTTCAATTGTATGTGAAATCTCTTTAACAATTTCCTAGAAATGTTCTAGATCCCAATTACAGTAATTTTTAACATATCACATTCTTTTGCAACAATTTTTAAGTCTTGCTCACAGTAAAAAATGCTGTTTTGGGAAGTTTTTCAAATAACTATAGCATAAAATCTGCACCGTCAAGTCCATGTTTCTGGAAGCGCTAAGTGCCATTGGATTAGTTAAGAATTCCAGTGGAAAAACTGACTCAAAGTCATTCCTAACATCACAAGTAAGTTTTATGTGGTTGTATTGTTTAAATTTCCTTAAATATGAAAAATAGGATAGTGATTTTATTTTTACCAAAGTTAACTGCAGTTTTGTAAACAAAATGGATACATTCACTTTTTCTCAGGATGTTACACTTGATCTTAGCCAAAAGGCCGAGAAGCGATTTTTTTTCTCAGGATCTTATTCCTCCAGAATTTGGAAACTTTTTGTAAGTATCCTATTTTAAGATGGTTAGTTGCATAAAGTAGATAAAATTGTGTCTTTTTATAACATGATTCAATTTGCAATATTAGACTTGACTAGTGAATTTAAAAATTAACCAGTTTTTGGGCGCAGCGCGATAGCTTAGTGGTTAAAGTCCTTGCCTTGCACATGCTGGGATTCCTGCTTGTGGCCTGGGAAAGCAGTCAAGGATGGCCCAAAGCCTTGGGATCCTGCACCCGTGTGGGAGGCCTGGAAGAGTTCCTGGCTTCAGATTGGCTCAGCTCCGGCCGTTGCACTCACTTGGGGAGTGAACCATCAGGTGGAAGATCTTTCTCACTGTCTCTCCTCTCTGTATATCCGCCTCTCCAATAAAAATAAATCTTTAAAAAAAATTAACTAGTTTTTAAGATCTGCCATTTTCTGGCAGGGAACATTAAGCTGTGGGGAATGCTCCAATTGCTACCTGCCATCTAAATGCAGAGGAATACATACAACTGCTATTGTCATAGGTGAGTACACTGGATATTAGGGCTAAGTTCTCTGATCTATATTTGGTTAGATTCATAAGGACCCAAATTAAGGAGCACACTCCAAACTCCTGGACTACCATATCCTCCCAGAAGCCTTTAGATGCATGTGCATCCAGATGTTTGTTCAACATCAGACAGTCTGCACTTGGCTGGAAGGATCATGTTGTAAACATGCAGACACCAGAAGCCTAAAATGAAGGGAAGTGTAACTAGTTTTGGTCACTAGCTAACCTCACCTGAAGGAGAGAGGGCCCAGGGTAAGGACTGTTACCATGACGGGAGCCCACTGTTTTGGACTTAGTTCCTGCACTGGGCTCCAACAGACCAGCCTAAAAGAAATGCAGTTATGCTGTATTTCCAAGTCTCCAGAATAAATTTCAGCACTCTGAATTACTATCTAATTCTAGGAGTGCTGTGATAAAGAAAAGTCAGTTTGTTGAAGGAGTTCATTAACTAATCTACATTGTTGGGAGAGAACAATACAGCAATGTTTCTGTTGTAACTTTTCTGCTTGGTTCATAAAGATCCATAAGATCTTTAAAAATGTAAAAGGATGGGCCCGGCTCAATGGCATAGTGGTTAAGGTCCTCGCCTTGCACACGCAAGGATCCCATATGAGCGCCAGTTCTAATCCCAGTGGCCCTGCTTCCCATCCAGCTCCCTGCCTGTGGCCTGGGAAAGCCTTGAGACCCTGCACCCATGTGGGAGATCTGGAAGAGCTCCTGGCTTCAGATTGGCTCAGCTCTGGCCGTTGCACTCACTTGGGGAGTGAACGATCGGATAGAAGATCTTCCTCTCTGTCTCTGTATATCTATCTGCCTTTCCAATGGAAATAAATAAATCTTAAAAAAAAAACTACAAAAGGGAAGATTGGTAATTTCAGTAAACAGGGAGAAAGTTATTCTGTGTCACAGAAGGCATACGCCAATGAACAGATTTTTATACATATAATATTTTTGGCATATTTAAGTTTAATGATAATGTATAAAACTCAAATTTTTATGGTACTATATATACACACACACATTTTCAGGCTTTAAAACTAAAATATCACAGGATAATACTTAACTTTCAAGCATAAAGTTTCTTTAAGATAGGGTAAGCAGTGATATTACTCAAGCTTCCTGTCCCTCCCCTCCGGTGTGCTGCGCACAGGGACTCTCCTGGGGTAAGTGAAATGGTCTTAAGCACAAGCTGTTCATGGTCACATGACTGCCCAGGTTATCAAAGGTGCTGACAAGTTATATTTGTCTTGTGTTTTCACCACAATCTATATTTTGCTTTCTACATTGCAATACTTAGCTTCGTTTGTAAATAATGGCATTTAGGTAAGTACTAATTCCTCAGTTTTAAAAAGACATGTACAATACCTCGACCACAAGCGGAGGGAGCTCCAGGGCCCTCTGGTAGTAGTGGATTGCAAGATGCATCAGCCCCAGTTGATGAAGGCCACGGCCTAAATTGTAGAACGATTCTTGGCAGGGTCCACGGATACTGAGGTAACGGTTAAGAAAGGAAAACCCCTGCCAAAGAGAAAAGATCGATTATTTATATATTTGTATGAAGAACATGTGCCAGTACATAAACACATGAAGAGCATCATGCAGGTTGTAATGAAAACAAAGTTGAAGATGCAGCAGTGATAGCCACGATCTCTTACCTTATCTAGTTTATATTCTTACTAAATAGCTATTAAAAATGTATACAAGAATAACTTACTGGTAATAGTGGAAGGAAACACCAGCATTCACTATTGGAAAAAATTGAGTTTTTAGGACCTGGTGCTACACAGGCTAAGGGAGCCTGCACATGTGTCCTTCTATAACCCCACTAAAATTATGTATAGTAAGACTGAACCATGAGCGCAACTGAATGGTAAGTCCAGCGCCCCCACAGCATGGACACTAAATAGGTGCTGATTTTGAGATAAGATTTTTGAAACTCATTAAGTACATTCACTTTCAAGGGACATGAAAAATGCATTACCTGCACAATCAGAGCATGCCGTCTTAACACACACTTCTGAGATGCCATATGGATGAAGGTTAGGCCTATGCAAAGGCTATACAGAGGTTCATTGGGATCGGTGCGAAAAGCCTGCGCGTACTGTCCTGGAAAAAGAATGCAGGGAAATAGCACCTTTCTCCTTTACATCTATTCAAGCAGAATTTTAAAGCTAAACAAACATCGATTTTAACATCCAACAATCTCCTTTGTTACATATTGCTTTAAAATTAAAAATAGTATTCATCTGAGTATAGCATACAATTTCCCCACAAATGTAGTTTGACAAAGATAACAGTAGCTCTTTTTGAGGCATAACTAGGCATTTCCTGTAGAGCACTATTTCCAAAATTATCAACTATGATCCTGGATCCAATAATAACATTATTTTAAAACACTGGGGAAATGGGCTTTTGGTGAATTCTTTTGTAAAATTAACCTGTTATAAATTTCAGTTTGGATTAGGGAAAGTTAGAAATCTAACTCTAATTTTTTAGATTATGATTTGTTTTTCTAAACCTAATAAAAACTAAATAATAATACAGTAACTTGGGGCTTCATGAACCCTATGTATTCCATTTATACCATTATATCAGAAGCCTACTTATGAAGTAAAAGTTTTATTTCCTTAAGGAATTAATGTGTTATATCACTATTTCAATATAGACTTCTGGCTTCTATTCTGGAAATACGTCACAATCTTTAGCAGCAAAAATTACTGTAGTTTATTATTTTCTACCATAATAGGAACATTTATAGAAAGTGAAAATTCTTCTCCATCTCAGTTTACTATTAAATAATTGAAAAACAAGTATTCACACTAGAGGAAGCACCCACAGCTATTGTTTGAGGTGAAATTATAAAAGCACCATCAGGGGCCAGCCAAGCAGCCTGTCAGGCTAATGTGCTTATGGTTCAGGCAGCTCATACTGGCTCCAGATCCTGTCCTGGCTGCTCTGCTAATCCAGCTCCCTGCCCTTGGCCTGGGAACGCTGTGGACGCTGGCCCAAGTGCTTGGGTCTCTGCATCCAAATGGAAGACATGCAAGAAGCTCCCAGCCCTGGCCATCACTACCACATGGGGCGTTAACCAGTGGATGAAAGCTCGCTCTCTTACTTACAAGTAAAATACATAAAAGTAAAAGTAAAATCTTTTTAAACAAAACAAAGCACTATACACAAAAAACATGAAAGCCTGAAATAGCTGGAAGACAATACCACTAATATTCAGGCAGCATGAGATATATTCCTAATTTTTGAGCTTAGTTTGCCGTTGATGCCTCATTATAGAAACTTGCTGCAAATGATTAAGAATTTTCTTTGAGCTTAATTAGAATTTGTAAGCACTTTGTAAGTAAATCTTAATTTCTTTAAGGGGACAAGTTGGAATCAGCTATCTGCAAGCTTTAAATTCTTTATTGCACTATAGCAAACTACACTCAGGTAGCAGAAGCATCCATATTTAATGAAAAATATTTTAAAAACAAGCCTAGGCAGACAAAATTTCTGACCTTTAAAATGGATCGTAAGACCACTTCCACTTTAATGTTAATAAGCTTTAGATTTTAATCATTACTATTAACACAAGGTGTTAGGCATACTTTTAAGAATTTTATATTAACATGCACAAAAACATACAAGGTAGACCAAGTTCTCTCCATTTTAGAACTAAGGCAGTGAAATAAAATAGGTGAGGGAATAACCTAAGCCCTCTCCTCCACACACTGACCAAGGCTTGTGCTGAGACACTTACCAAGTGCATGCTTAAAGCTTCCAGACACAAATGCATTGTGCCCATTTAAGACACACAGGGCATGATTATCTGGGTTTTTCAACATTAAACGGAGACAGAAGCGATGATGCCGTACATCTTGGGAGTGCATGGTAACTTGATTAAATATGTTCCAGAGCTGGGGCTTATTAACATTTTCCATTACCATTATCCTATAATTTATTGAGAAGGGGAAATAATGTGAAAAGAAAATCCTCTGGATTTCTAAGAATAAAACATCTTAGCATAGTCTTAACACTAACCAGTAACATCCTCATTAGAAAAAAAGCACTACCACAGTCTAGGCAAAAGCTCATGAAGTATTTTTCCCAGAAAAGGCTGCTTAACATTTCTACACATCTTGTTTCTGATTTTGTAAAAACCTCTATATAGACCATCCTCCACAATGGCCCTGGGTTGACTTGGACCCCTGCACCCACTTGGAAAATCTGACTCCCAACTTTGCCCCAGCTCAGCTCTAGGCAGTGCTGCCTTTTGAGTAGTAAGCCAATGGATTTTCTTACTATAAAGTCAAAACTAAATATTGAATAAAAAGGGGGGGCAGGGGTTGGGCACAAGAACTCAAGTACCTGACCAACTCGCCCCCCCGCCGTTAAACCTCCTGGATTTAAATCTCAAACCAGTTAATTCTTAGATATTACCTGTGAGAATCACCATAGAACTAAATTAGTCAGTAAGTAATAGAATTCAAACTAACTCTAGTATGGGAATAAAATATATATATATTTTTATCCATTTAAAATACATTTTAAAATTACCTGATATAGTTGTATGCTTTTCTGAAATTTTTGTCCAGAATTGCAGCAGATAGACCAAAATATTCTAGTTCTTTGCGTTTTTGCCTGTCATCATAAAATGAATAATATTCCAATGAAGAATCTACAAGTAACTCAGCCTCTTGAAATCGGGATAGGTCACATAAGGAGTATATGGCCTTCAACAAAAGGTTCCACCAGTCATCTTTTGTCAAGACGTTTGTGAGTACAGCAAATATTGCTACGAGACCAATGAAAATAAGTTAACAAACAGCATTTCCAGAAATAGCAGTATTTTAAAATTCTCATCAACTTTAGGATAAATTTAACAACTCTAGTCCTATAGACCTGAATTCTTGCTAACACCCTCCTGAGAAGGAATGAAAAGGGGAATAGTTGCTTATTTATACTACACTACTGCCTGCTTAACAACCCACAAGCCCAAGTAGATCTCTGGTATGTTTTTTTCACAAACCATTTGCATTCCTCAGTGCTAGCTGGGACAAGACAGAAAAATGTCCCTTCTATATCCTTTTTATGACCACGGTCATGCAAGATTCTGCGCTTACACAGCACTCAAGGATCTGCTCACATCAGAGTCTCTGGGCTTGGTATCTGTTTCTGGATCCCGACCACAACTTCCTGCTACTGCAGACCCGGGGAAGCAGCTGTTTCGGCCTAACTACTCAAGCTGTTCCCTGGAGATCTGCACTGAGGTCCAGGCCACCCACGTTGGTACCCAGCACTGGGCCTTTACTAGACACTTGGGGAATGAAGTAATGAATGGGCAGGAGGGGAGTTTCAGTTCATCCCTTCCTCCCTCCCTCCACCCATGCCTCTCATTTTAAAATTATTGAGCAAATTCAAATTATTCTTGTTTTTTTCTAATTTCAAGTTTTTCTGCCTTCAAAACTTTCTACAAGCGTCCTTACCTGGACGCCTCTCTCATAATCCTTTAAAAAAATCTTAAAATTTTACTCTTCTGGTGCAAGAATTCTTTGGAAATATAATAATAAAATACACAAAAATATATAAAACTCTTAGCACGTAGCTTATAAAATTTTCAGAAGCATATATCAAAAAAGAGTGGATTTCATTTTTTAAGCATCATTACTAAAAAAATACAACATGACAAACTGTTAAGTGAAAAAAATCAGAGTAGAAAGTTGCAGGTATTGGAACCAGTCTTGTGGCAGAGCAAGTAAAGCCGCATCTGTGAAACTGGCATCCCAAATGTCCTGGGAAGCCAACTTGGGCCCCTCCCACCCAGGTACACTAAAGAGAAAGTCTGGCCAGGCCAAGTCTTTGCAACTGTGGCAATCTGGGGAATAAATAAAAGGATGGAAGATCTGTCTCTGTAATTCTTTCAAACGAATTCTTCAAAGATTGCTTTTTCTGCAATTATTTCAAATGAATAATCCTTTTTAAAAAGTTGCATATATCCAGACTGGCACAAAATGGCATATTAAGCGTCTGCTTTCACTGCCAGCATCTCATATGGGCACTGGTTGGAGTCCTTCAGCCCTGACAATACACCTGGAAAAGCAGTGGGAGATGGCAAGTGTTTTTGCTCCTGCCAAGGGAAATGGTTACCTTTTGCATCGCAGTTGGCAGTCTCTTGCTCGTTGCTGTCTGATATTTTGTCTCTCGATACTTTAATGAGGTAGAGATGCCTCTCTCCAGATTTGGAACTTGATATCAAGCAGACCTGAGCTCTATTCATTGCTACCTAAGAAAGAGTAATTTGAGATATCTTAGTATTTTTTTTTTAAAGAAACCAACAAACCACAAATACCACAAGCTTTAAGTGAGGAGAAACGTCAAATTACTTCCTGGGGAAAAAAAAATAGCTAAATGAAAATTGTTTTTATCTTACCAAAGAAAGTTTAGGTGACACTGCTCACCTTAGGAAAAATAAGGTAATTCACATTAATTTGATAACATGTATACACACACACACCCTTTCCTACAGAAAAGCCAAACAATGATATCAGATCTGGAAAACATTTTTACAAAGTGAACAATCTTGGCCATTAACTGAAAAATACAGCAGGAAAGGTTTCCATTCACTCAATGTACAATAAAGTATACGGTATCATGCAGAACTTTCATTACAAACTTCTAATCCAAAATCTTAAGATGAAACCCAGTTTAAGTAGTCTAAGTTTTAGCAGAGTAGAATATTACAGAACATGCCAAAACACAACAAGGCTAATAAAAAAATCATTACCTTTAAAAGCATGGCCAACATGGTAAGTAAGGCATCCACATAACCATATATTTTGCCTTGTGAAAACAACAGAGTAGAACGATGAAGCAATAATTTCAGCTCCTAAGTAAATAAGCACAAAACTGAGTTCAAGATTCTTTTCTTGGAAGTTGTATTATTTACAAAAAAACAGGTAAATATCTATGAATTTTGACAATTATAACCCAATACTTTAGAAGCTATAACTTATAATGTCTATTAAGGAACTAAAACTAATTACTGTTTTTTCAGAAATTTAGTACACTGTAGTACAATGTAGAATATAACCTATAAAGATATCCCTGAGGAAAAAGCTCTAAAATGAATTCACGAGAAAGTGTTGCATGGCTTACCTGCTGTGCAGCATTTGCATCCTGTGCTAAAGTATCTGGATCATACATTGGTTCCAAAGCTTCTAGAGCTTTCTCAGGACGGCCCAGCTGCTGCTGAAGGGTAGAAAGTGAGATTCTTGCATCCAAATGGAGGGGAGCCAGATCAACGACTTTACCATAGCTTTCGGCAGCACGTTCCATGTAACCCAAAGCCTTTAAACATTCTACAAGGATATTAAAGCATAAATGTGAAATACAGATTTCCAAATATCCAAAACTATTTTTCCATCGTAAAAGATACAGTGATATAGAAACACTAATGCGTATTTCTGGTACTTTAAAAGTCATCCTTTATAACGTCACTGATTGGTCATCTATCAACCTAATTCAGACTGCTGCAAGGATATAACTAGCATAAGCAGACAAACGGGAACTCTGTTTTACTTAATAAGTACTGTGCTTCAGCATTTCCCCATGTCTTCATTGGCATTTTGAATGGTTATTTATATAATATTGCTTACTTACCTAACCATAATTTTGACAGATCTCTAATTTTTACTCTAGTGAAGCCACAGAAAATATTTTCATGTACATAAGCCAGAGTTTAAAATTAGCATACCAATTTAACCCATAGTTATTCCTGTTAAGGGTCAATGCTTTGCAAAAAATTTTAACACTTATTTGTTTTTTTTTTTTAAGAATTATTATTTTTTTATTGGAAAGGCAGATATACAGAGAAGAGAGATAGAGAGGAAGATCTTCCGTCCAATGATTCACTCCCCAAGTGAGCGCAACGGCCGATACCATGCCCATCCGAAGCCAGGAGCCTCTTCCGGGCCTCCCACGCGGGTGCAGGGTCCCAAAGCTTTGGGCCGTCCTCGACTGCTTTCCCGGGCCACAGGCAGGGAGCTGGAAGGGAAGCGGGGCTGTCGGGATAGAACCGGCGCCCATATGGGATCCCGGGTGTGCAAGGTGAGGACCTTTAACCACTTGTGCCACTGTGCCGGGCCTGACACTTATTTGTTTTAATGTTTATTTTCATCTACATAAAAGGCAGAGCAACAGACACACAGAGAGTTCTTCCCAAAGCCAGCAGCCCAGCAATGCAGCCACCATCTCCAGCCTCCCGAGATGCAACAACAGAAAGCTGGTCCAGAAGTGTAGGACCTGGGACTCCAACCAGCACTCTGACATAGGATGCAGGCCTCCTAGGTGGTGGCTTAACCAGCTGCACCAAATGCCCATGCCTTAGAAAAACTAATTACTTAGTTTTAAATAGAGTTGTTTGTCCGTTTGTTTTTAAATCAGGGATACTGGAATCTTTAGAAAAATCTGGATTTGGGCAACAGTGTAATGCTGCCAGTCTCACAGGGCCCAGCAGGCCCTCCGATTAAATCATTCCCAAAGGCTCTGCAGCTCCCATCCATCTCTCATTCTCATTTGCCCAATTCACTCATTCTTGTGCTACCTGAGAGGTCCCAATTTTTATGGTCCTCATATAGTACCTAGTCCTCATACAGTACCTCATACAGTACCTAGTTCCTCAGGATAACTTCTCAAAGCTAACGGAGTTCTGTTCCTCTGTCCAATCACCAGGTCACACAGTCTCACACTCACACTTGTCATTGTTAAGATTTTCTTCTCTCGGGCCTGGCGCGAGGTGCAGGTGGTTAAAGTCCTCACCTTGCACGCCCAGGGTCCCATATGGGCGCCAGTTCTATCCCGGCAGCCCCACTTCCCTTCCAGCTCCCTGCCTGTGGCCCGGGAAAGCAGTCGAGGACGGCCCAAAGCTTTGGGACCCTGCACCCGCGTGGGAGTCCTGGAAGAGGCTCCTGGCTTCGGACCGGCATAGCATCGGCCGATTGCACTCACTTGGGGAGTGAATCATCGGACAGAAGATCTTCCTCTCTGTCTCTCCTCTCTGTATATCCGCCTTTCCAATAAAAAAATAATAAAAATAAATCTTAAAAAAAAAAAGATTTTCTTCTCTCCACACTAATACCCGTTATATTACTCGGGACCCTTTGCATAGCCTTTTTTTTGGAGGGGTGGGGAAGGGGAGATATTCATTTTTATTTATTTGAAATTCAGAGTTAGGGTCTGGCACAATAGCACAGTGGTTAAAGTCCTTGCCTTGAACACACCGGGATCCCATATGGGTGCTGGTTCTAATCCCTGTGGCCCCACTTCCCATCTAGCTCCCTGCCTGTGGCCTGGGAAAGCAGTCGAGGACGGCCCAAGGCCTTGGGACCCTGCACCTGCATGGGAGACCTGGAAGAGCGCTCTTGGCTCCTGGCTTCGGATTGGGTCATCTCCAGCTGTTGCAGCTGCCTGAGGAGTGAATCATCCGATGGAAGATCTTCCTCTCTGTCCCTCCTCTGTATATCCGACTTTCCATTTTAAAATAAATAAATCTTAAGAAAAAAAAATGCAGAGTTAGGAGACACAGAAAGAAAGAAATCTTTTTTTAAAGATTTATTTTTATTGGAAAGTCAGATATACAGAGAGGAGGAGAGACGGAGAGAAAGATCTTCCGTCCAATGATTCACTCCCCAAGTGAGCACAACGGCTGGTGTTGTGCCGATCCAAAGCCAGGAGCCAGAAATCTCCTCCAGGACTCCCACACGGGTGCAGAGTCCCAAGGCTTTGGGCCGTCCTCAACTGCCTTCCCAGGCCACAAGCAGGCAGCTGGATGGGAAGTGGAACTGCCGGGATTAGAACCAGCACCCATATGGGATCCCGGTGCGTTCAAGGTGAGGACTTTAGCCACTAGGCCACCACGCTGGGCCCTAACCTGTTGGTGTGCTATTCAAATGACTGCCCGGGCTGGGTCAAGCTGAAGCCAGGAGCTTCATCCAGGTCTGCCATGTGGATATAAGAGCCCAAGCACGAACATCTTCCTTTGCTTTCCCAGCTACATTAGCAGGAAGCTGGATCAGAAATGGACAGCTGCAACACAAACTAGTACCCAGATGGATGCCAGCACTACAGGTGGTAACTCAACCTGCACCAGCACCCATTAGATTTGCTTTTCCACTAGGGTTACATATTGACATTCTGCTTCAAACCATTTTCTTAAATTTCTCCCAAGATTTTTAGGTTCAATTTTGATGATAAAGGAAGAATACTAATGTGAATGGATTTACCATTCGTAATATTTTTTCTTTTTTTTTTTTAAAGATTTATTTATTTTTATTACAAAGTCAGATATACACAGAGGAGAGACAGAGAGGAAGATCTTCCATCCGATGATTCACTCCCCAAGTGAGCACAACAGCCGGTGCTGTGCCAATCTGAAGTCAGGAACCTGGAACCTCTTCCGGGTCTCCTACACGGATGCAGGGTCCCAAAGCATTGGGCCATCCTCGACTGCTTTCCCAGGCCACAAGCATGGAGCTGGATGGGAAGTGGAGCTGCCAGGATTAGGACTGGTGCCCATATAGAATCCCGGTGTGTTCAAAGCGAGGACTTTAACCGCTAGGCCACGCCACCGGGCCCTCTAATATTTTTTAATCCCTAAGGATACTTTGTTATCCTCCAAGTACTAAATTTCTCTAATGATCTTTCTTATACACTGAACTCAAATTTATAAATTTTAGACAACAGGGAGGTTTTATCTTCCACTCATCTCTAGTTATACAGACTCAAAATTGAAACAGCATTTATCATAATCATGATAATTAAAAAGGATTTTGAAAATATCTCCAAGGTGGGCTGTTAGCCTAGTGGTTGACATGGGTTATAATGCCACATCCCACATCAGAGCATCTGGATGCAATACCTGGCCCCAGCATCTGACACCACTTCCTGCTGGTGCAGACACTGGAAGACAGTTGCAATAGTTCAAGTAACTGAATCCTAGGCACCTATAGGGGAGACCTACATTGGGTTCCCAGCTCCTGGCCTCCCTTGCACCATTAGAATGAGCCAGCAGATGAGAATTTTGTTTCTCAAATAAATTTGAAATTTACTGTTAATGACACTGGAGCAGTTTCAATTTCACAGCATCAGCAGGACAATTAAAGGGGCCACATTTTCTTTTGAAAAATAAGAGCAGCTTGCAATGGCTTCTGACTCAGCCCAACTGACTCAACCTGGTCTCCAACTCCAATACCCATGGCCAGCGGAGGTTTGGCCATTTAGCTTCTCTGAGGCCTGGAATGATGGCAACCTAACAGGACTGCTAGGTGTGTATTGTTATTGACACCTACCTTATTCAACACACAGGGAAAATTACTCCCGAGAGTAAAAGCTCTGTTCCTAAACAGCTTATATTCTAGTAAGACAACAATTATAAAGAAAAATTGATGGTAATCCTCCATCTCCAAGCACTGGCACTGTAGTATGGGCACCAGTTCATGTCCAGCTGCTTTGCTTCCAATCCAGCTCCCTGCTTATGGCCTGGGAAAGTGATGAAAAATGCCCCAAAGCTTTGGGACCCTGCACCCATGTGCAGGACCTGGAAGAGGCTCCAGGCTCCTGCCTTCAGATCACCTCAGCTTTGGCCACTGCAGCCATTTGGAGTGAACCAGCACATGGAAAATCTTTGTCTCTCCTTCTCTCTGCAAACTGGCCTTACCAATAAAATAAATTAAAAAGAAAAAAAGGCAATTAAAAACTCATGCCTTTAAAATTCAAATCCCACAAATATAACATTTAACAATGTTAAATTTGTATTCATGCCACTCACCTATATAAGTCCTCTTTCTAGTTCTTGTCAGTGATGTTAAGTGATCAAACTATACTGAAATGTCAACCAATGCTGCTTTAGTTACAGAGAACATTCTGCCTCCTTATAATATTTAAAGTAATTACAACTTTGCTGGGGCTGATGCGATGGCTCCATTGACTAATCTTCTACCTCCAAGAGCTGCCATGCCATATGGGCACTGGTTTCTATCTGGATGCCCCACTTTCCATCCAGCTCCCTGCCTGTGGCCTGGAAGAACAGCGGAGGATGGCCCAAAGCCTTGGAACCCTGCCCCTTTGTGAAGTACTGGAAGACCCTCCTGGCTTTACACTGTTCATGGGTGATTGTTGTGGGCATTTGGGCATAAACTACTGGATAGAAGATCTATTTCTCCTTTCTATAAATCTTCTTTTCCCATAAAAATAAATGAATATTTTAAAAAATTCTGCTGTTATGGAATATTTTAGTCATTTATTTATTTTAAAATTTTTTTTAATTTTTATTGTAAAGTCAGATGTACAGAGAGGAGAAGAGACAGAGAGGAAGATCTTCTGTTCGTTGATTCACTTCCCAAGTGGACACAATGGCCGGAGCTGCACCAATCTGAAGCCAGGAGCCCAGAGGCTCCTTTGGGTCTCCCCTGTGGGTGCAAAGTCCCAAGTCCTTGGCCATCCTTGACTGTACTCCCAGGCCACAAGCAGGGAGCTCAATGGGAAGCAGGGCCACTGGGATCAGAATGTGTGTCCATATGGGATCCCAGCGTATGCAAGGTGAGAACTTTAGCTGCTAGGCTAACGCTCTAGGCCCATAATATGGACTATTTTAAGCCATAACTGTTCAATTTTTAATTTTGGTGTACCTTTTATAGTAATACGAAATATCAGAATATTTTTGTTAAATTTCTGTAACATTTGTGTGTTTTTTTAGATCTATTTATTTGAAAGAATTACAGGGGCCCTGGCGCGGTGGCACAAGTGGTTAAGGTCCTCGCCTTGCACACCCGGGATCCCATATGGGCGCCAGTTCTATCCCGGCAGCCCCACTTCCCTTCCAGCTCCCTGCCTGTGGCCCGGGAAGGCAGTTGAGGACGGCCCAAAGCTTTGGGACCCTGCACCCGCGTGGGAGTCCTGGAAGAGGCTCCTGGCTTCGGATGGGCATAGCATCGGCCTTTGCGCTCACTTGGGGAGTGAATCATTGGACAGAAGATCTTCCTCTCTGTCTCTCCTCTCTGTATATCCGCCTTTCCAATAAAAAAATAATAAAATAAATCTTAAAAAAAAAAAAAAGAAAGAATTACAGATACAGGAGGAAAGACAGAGTCCTTCCATGCTGGGTTCTCAAGAGTTAGATTTTACCCAAATCTGAGAATACATTACTGGAAACTCGAGTCTGCTTCATTCCGTGAACATTACATGAATTATTCCTTCCAATCATCAACGAGAGGAGAAACCACTTAGTAACCCAGCAGGACAACTCGAAAAACTATAATTCAAAATATAACCGACTCAAAAACAAAACTATACTGAACTGAACTATTGGCACTAAGATATTAATGTAATAATTATTACAACCTTAGAAAAATAAATTTTATGATTATATGATTAAATAAATAGAAAAATGAAAAGGATTACCTGCATGCCGAAGCCAAACCACGGCAAGATTGTATCTTTCAGAGCAAACTAGTGCACTGAGGAGAGGCAGGGCAGAATTGTATTCACCCACGTCCAGAAAGGCTTCAGCAACATCTAGATACAGGTCTCCCATATCTTCAGGATTCTGTTCCACCAGGGTTGTCAGGAGCGGCTAGACCCGAAATAAAAGCCTGAAGTCAAAGACCATTTCCAATGTGCACACTGTATGGGGCACCTTTTTATTCTTAACCTAATCTATCAGTTATGTGAAGCAAAAAAAAAGAAGAAGTATTGTTTCAGTTGTATTTCCCTATTTAATAGAAGTCATAGTTCATGAACTGCTGAGCCACTCTGTGTTAAAAGCAAGCACTGCAGTAAGAGGACGCTAATCTGCTGTACAATTCCTGCAAGCATACTGAGCCTCAGGGCATCCGTCTGTGATGTTTCTGGAAAGCTCTGCCCTATGAATTCCCAAGGCTTAACTTCCAGTTTATGTCATTATTCAAATAACTTCTTTTCAGGGAGGCCTTTCCTGACTACCAGTTGAAAACTGCAACATTTCTCCACCCCCAATTCTGCCTATTTTTTCCCTTGCTTAGAGTACTTATCCACTAATCAGTGTCCTATATATTTTATATATTTCCCATTAGAACAAAAGAACCATGAGGCTAAGGATGTGGGTTTTCAATACTTTTTCCTAATGTCAATGGAGCAGATGCCTTATTTTCCATTCAATAAAATACTTGGCCCAAAGCTGGTTAAAACAAACAAACAAATAAATAAAGATAAAAATGGTGAATTACTGCCAACTGCCTTACAGCCAAATTTCAAATTCTGATCTCTAGGCTGTTCTCATTGTAAGAAAAAAATTGTTATAATCACAATTCCAAAACACTTTGAGATTTCTCACACATTCATATTTAAGTGCTTCCTGTCATTCCCCGCCTATTAGGAAACGGGAAAAGCTAGGGTCAAGAAATGTTTTCACTAAGGAAAATGGATTATGAATTTGATATATCTCAAGTACAGATCTTAATGCTACTTACATTAAGTGGTTCAAAGATATTGAGATGCACAAGGCAGACCATCAGCTTCACTGTGATGTCTATTGGCACACTATCAGGTATAGTGTAGATAACACTCTCACCATCTGAGGAACAGATAAAGAAGCAGTTCGTACATGTAAGCCTACAATGTGTAACATACTGTAGTTCCTATTTCATTTACTTCATTCAAAGCAAAAAATTCTATGATTCATTCGAATTATGGCCAACTCTTAGTAGGTCTCTAGTCTGTCCATAAGGTACAATTTATGCATTTCCCTAATACATTTTGTACTTAATCTGATATCAGATCTAGAGAGAACTAAAAAACAAAATCTCTTTTTCCTCTTGAATTCAAAAACCTCTTTATAAGTGTTTACTACAAAGAGGCTAAAAAAGGGATAATATTGTGTTATTTTGCAAGTCTTCATTATAACAAAACCATTTATGAAGTTCTGGAGATTAAAGAAATATTACCAACAATTATAGCATTTTTTACTTCTTTAATCTAGCAAATTCCAAATAAGTGTATCTGTATTTCTGAAAAACGAACATAGGACTTTGGAGGTGTATCTTAAATAGTTAAATTTTAAGTTGCTCTTGAAATTACTTTCATCTGTTTTACAAAACCTGTCATATATAGAAATTGTAGTGCTACTTAAAATTACCAATCAAAGGAAAATAAATTCAATTAAGAAAATGTTTATCACTGAGTTCCAAGATAGCAATTATTACTGGAAATACGCCTTAGATAATTGTTCTGCTTCATAAGAAAGAATTTAACTGCCTTGAAAACTTACTCATATTACACAAGTCCCATAGAGACCACACCAATAGCACATTCTTCTGTAAATGGAAACCATGGTCACCCGTCTCAATGAAGGCTCACCAAATGCAGTTAGCTTACTTTACGAAACTGGAATTCTACTTGTATTTTTATATGGGTTCTAAAATGTAAACTCTATAATCTTGGTTTTCCTTCTAGAAATACGACTGGTATACCCCCACATAATTCCTAACTTGAAACTTGACCCTCAATATGATGACTTTTTTTTTTAAGATTTATTTTTATGACAAAGTCAGATATACAGAGAGGAGGAGAGACAGAAAGATCTTCCATCCGATGATTCACTCCCCAAATGACTGCAACAGCCGCTGCTATGCCGATCCAAAGCCAGGAGCCAGGAACTTCTCCCAGGTCTCCCACACGGGTGCAGAGTCTCAAGGCTTTGGGACGTTCTTGACTGCTTTCCCAGGCCACAAGCAGGCAGCTGGTTGGGAGGTGGAGCTGCCGGGATTAGAACCAGCACCCATATGCGATCCCAGTGCGTTCAAGGTGAGGACTTTAGCCGCTAGGCCACGCTGCAGGGCCCAATATGATGACTAAAAGGGTTCTGTGCACTTCTAGGAATTTATCCAAATGAAATGAAATCAGCATATGCCCCCATGTTAATAGCAGCTCCATTCACATTAGCTAAGACATGGAATCAACCCTGATAAGTGGTAAAGAAGAAAATACTACACTATATAATGCTACTCAGGTATAAAAAAGAAATCATGTCTTCCATAATTAACTGGATTCAACTGGAAACTATGATTAGTGAAACAGGCCCCGGTGTGGTGGCCTAGCGGCTAAAGTCCTCACCTTGAACGTGCTGGGATCCCATGTGGGCACTGGTTCTAATCCCGGCAGCTCCACTTCCCATCCAACTCCCTGCTTGTGTCCTGGAAAAGCAGTCAAGGACAGCCCAAAGCTTTGGGACCCAGCACCTGCATGGGAGACCCGGGAGAAGCTCCTGGTTCCTGGCTTCAGATCAGCGCAGCACCCACCATTGCAGTCACTTGGGGAGTGAACCATCAGATGGAAGATCTTCCTCTCTGTGTATCTGACTTTGTAATAAAACTAAATAAATCTTTTTTTAAAAAATAGTGAAATAAACCAATCCCAAAAAGTTAAATTTCATAAAAGTTTTCCCTAATCTGTGATAATACAGAGAGTACAAAAAATATACTCTAAATGAGTGAGGTTAACAGTCTAAAATTTGATTATGCTTTGTCTATACTCCTGAGGAATAGTAGGGCTTGTTTTTATTATCTGTTCTGCTATGTGCTGTTATCTTTATTGAATGGACTGTTTAGCCTGCGATTATAAAGTGAAATGAAAGAATGCCATTGTAAAAATCAGGTAAAAAAAACTAACAAGGAGGAAAAGAGTAGATGGAAATTGTGGCTAGGAGGGAAGGGTGGGAAGTATGAGTATGCTCCTAAATCTACATTGTGACAATATGAAATATGTTTATGTTATATAAATAACAAATACATTCAAAAAGAGGGGTCTTTGGAGAGGACTAGTCTTGAGGGCAGCTCCCTCCTGAGTGGGATTCCATCCTTGATAGAGGCCTGAAAGTCGGCTGTACACCTTCCTCAGGTGAGGCAGTGGCAGGAAGCGGCCGTCAACAAAGAGGGCCCTGCCTTGCCGCACACCAGGGTGGCCGGTACCTTGATCTAAACCTTCCCAGCCTCTAAGAACTGGCAGCTGTATATTTCCATTGTTTACAAACTACCCAGCCTAAAGTACCGTTAGAGCAACCTACAAGGACGAACTCAGACACTGTTAAGAAAATGTATGTTGTTTAGAGCAAGGGAGTTATACAGGACCTGAAATAATCTCAGCAGAACCATTAAAGACACACTGTAAAATATAAGAAAAATGACTGATTACAGCTATATTTAAATCTTGAGGGCCTGGTGTGGTGGTGTAGTGGCTAAAGTCCTCGCCTTGACTGTGCCAGAATCCCATATGGGCACTATTCTAATCCCGGCAGCTCTACTTCCCATCCAGCTCCCTGCTTGTGGCCTGGGAGGGCAGTCAAGGATGGCCCAAGGCCTTGGGATCCTGCATCTGCGTGGGAGACCTGAAAGAGCTCCTGGCTCCTGGCTTCGGATCGACGCAGTACTGTAGTACTGGCTGTTGCGCTCACTTGGGGAATGAATCATCGGACGGAAAATATTTCTGTCTCTCCTCTCTGCTTATCTAACTTTGCAATAAAAATAAATCTTAAACACTTGAGCATAACTATTTCCTTAATACTTCCTGAAACAAAGGACAGCAATAATTTTAAATGAAAACAATTTTTTTTCAGAGAAAAAAAAAACAAAAAACTGAAATTACAGCTACAAATTAAGAACTAGGCTGAATCTCTAACCTAGACTAGATCCAAATAAAGCAAAAACATAGCTCCAAAAGCTCACAGAAAAACAGATTTATGAAATAAGGCTTTTCCATGCAAAAAAAAATTTTTAAATCCATGCATAATGGTTATAGTAAGCATTTTCCATGAACTTTTTGAAGACCCTCCATATGCAGAGATTTCAATTATTTCACACCAAAAACAAACTTATCTTCATTCCATTTTCCATGAAGTTTTACAAATACTCATAAAAAACTTAGAGAGCCCTTCAGTTACCCAAATCCATACTTCCACAGCACTACAGTCCCGACTGCTCCGTCTACTCGTTCACAGCACCCTGATGACACAAGGCAAACACAGATGCTCGCTGAGCCTGCCAATGCCACGCAATGTTCCCACAACCTGGAGTCAGTCTGGATTACTCTCCATAGATGTCCACTTAAATTTCATCTGTCAACAGCCTCTCAACCTTAGTAACCTGCCTTACTAGATTTCCCTGTAACATCAACTTCATTACAGAAAGTATCAAACCCTGCTATAACTGGATTGTATACATTTGAGGACAAAAAAATGTACACTTGGCCCAATTGTGTATATTCTCCACACACTCTGCAAAATTCCATATGAGAAACATTTTTCAAAGTGGGTGTCCCTTGAACTTTCCACTTTGAAACTGCTTCTTTCAGCCTTTCTTGGGCCTTGCTCTCTAATGAGGTAGCACAAATTAATGGACCTCAGCTTAATTCAAATGAATTAAATTTTATGTACGTATGTTTGGTTTTGAGTTACCCAGTTACTACATAATGATGGAATTTCTAGGCATCATGGTAGGTCAAAGAGAGCGCTATTATGATGTACTCAGTACCAACCCACTTCTCCCACCCTGACACCATCAAAATCCTTACTAAGTAGGAGTGAAAGGTATTAAATAGGAATTCTACTAAGGACAGGAACACTGTTGAGCACCTAAAGACCAATCATTACAAACTTAGATGGGACTCTGTTAGGATTTTTGCTGAACATGCAATGGGTTTGGCACAAAGAGGCCAGAGCTGAAAGAGACCCTGAGAAGCCATACTCCAGATAAGAATTTTTATCCAGGTCTCTATACATTTTGAGTTTTCAAACAGTATAGTATAATCATATATGTTTTTGAGTTGTAAACAATAAGGTAATCTCACTGGTTTCTTTTTATGTGAAAGCTTAACCTTGAATAATTTGACAGAACTTTAAGTCCTTATTAAAAGGTAAAATGATATACAGTTATGAAAGTTTTTGATAAACAGCTCAGAAATGCATTTTCATCTTGAAAGAATGAATAAAGAAGATCCAGGATTAATGAGAAATGCCATGGTAAAATGGACACGAGAGATAAAGGTCTCCTATTTTTAAAAGGCTATTTTCAAATGAACAGTTATAACAAAAAGGTATGAAATTTGAGGGGGAAAAAAAATGTCTCAGAAATACTTGTTAGAACATTATCAACTCAAAATGCCATGAGACAGAGGTTTATATACATGATATGACACAAAGGAAACTACAACCTTTATTCTCTTCCAAGGTGCCATCTTCTGCAATTTTCTTTTCCAGCGTAATTCCAGAAAAATCGGTAATGACCTGAAAGAATTGGGGGAATAAGGAAATATAAGTTATATATTTTAACAATGCAAAAAATTTATACAGTTAATTCAAATAATCCTTACAACAAAAAAAATGGGCCATAAAATAATGGTACATCTTTTTATAATAATATCATTAAAATAATACTAACTAAAGGTAATTCTTTCTCTAACAAAGTACCCTAATTTCCCCCCAGAGAATTTAAGAACTGAGTCATAGGAATTGGTCTGACTATTTTGTTTACCATGAAATAAGGCATACTTGGCTCCAGAGACACCAGCAATCTTGATATGAAAAAACTACATTTTATATTTCCTATAGAGTTACTATGCAGTCTAGAAATCCCCATTCCTATAACCTAATAAACAAAATGAGGAATAGTTTTTAAGAATTTGAAGAACACAGAAACAGATTCCTACCTCTAATGCTTTGTCATACTGCTTGTTAGAAATATACAGTTCAGCTGCTATGTTAACATCTTCCATGGAGACAAGCCCCTGGTGTTTTGAGAAAGCTTCTTCAATTACATTAATAGCCGAAGTAACATCATTAGCTTCATAGTAACTCCTAAAAAGGCAATGGCAAAATGCATGCTTAAATCCAGTCATGAAATTCATTTCCTTGCCTAGATCCTTTAACATTTAACTATGATTTTCAGTTACACATTAACACACTTAAATTTTTCACTTATTAAGTTCATTTGCAGGGCAGAGAAAGATCTTCCATTGCTGGCTTGCTTCCCAAATACCTGTAACAGTGTGAGCTGGCCCAGGCTAACTCCAGGAGCCTGAACCTGAACTGGGGCTCCACATGCACTTGAGCCATCACTTGCTGCCTCCCAAGATATGTGTAGATCAGACACTGAGTAACAAGATCTTGAATGAGTCACTCTGACATAAGATGAGGGAATTCAAAGCAGCAATTGAACTGCTAAGCCAAATACCCATCTCAGTATTTAAAAACTGGGGGAAATAATTTAAAAACGTAATCAGACTTCATCTAGAAAATGTGATGTCAGTGCAGTAATGCCATTTTTTAAGACTCATTTTATTTACTTGAAAGGCAAAGTGACTGAGAGATAGTGATGTGCCATATACTGGTTTCCTCCCCAAGTGGCAACAATGGCCAGAGCTAGGCCAGGCTGGAGCCAGAAGCAAGGCACTCCATCTGGGACTCCCACATGGGTAGCAACAATCCAAGCACTTGGCTCATCTGCTGCTGCTTTCCCACAAACATTAGCAGAGAGCTGAACTGCAACAGCAGCCAGGCTTTGAACATTCCACACACACCCTTCACAGTAACCTCCTCTGCTTTCCCCTTTACCAAAGAGGAATAATCAGTATAATCAAAACCAACCTCCAGCTACTTCCCATTCTCCTAATCTAATTACAGATACTGCTCAAGAAATTTTGCTTTATCTTGAGACTCTTCATTATGTCCCTCAACTTTGGGTTATCCCCACCTAAATACAAATATATCACAATTTTCCTCCATCTAAAGAAATCTTACCTCATCAAGCCACTCATGTTCTGCTGTAAGACCCTCCCAAATTGTTACCTGTCTCAACCCTATCTCTAATGCTTAGCTCCAAGCCACTCGCCGTTAAACTAATCAAACCAATTGCCTCCTTTTTGCTCGGCTAAGACTTCTGATCCCCATGGTGTTAGTTTTCAATGCCAATTCTCAGTCTTTGTTTTACTGTTGTATGTTACTTGGATGACCATGCCACCCCACCTCACTGAAGTGCTTCAATAAAATTATGACGTAATTTTCTTAGTTTATTTCTGTTTTTTATGCCTTTGATTGTCCCTTCTGTTTCTTCCTTTTGTCCAGACTTGTAAACCCTGCAGCTCCTCTCAGGTTTCAGTCCTCGGAACTCTTGTCTCTTTCTCTCTTCCCCTTACTCCCACAGTCCGTGCAAGTGCACATAAGCACATCCCCTCCTCGTATCCAATACAGAAAGTCTTCAGAGTTCAGTCTTCAGATTACAGCATGTAATTTGTTACCACCATCTCCTGCTGTCTCTAGCTACCTAGTATTTTCCCTTCCAAGTATTCTAACAATTTCCCAACTGATCTTATCTTCCCACTCCTCGTTCTAATGTCAAAACAACAGTCAAAATTGATGCCTTTAAAACATAAATTTCATGTCATTGTTCAGCTCAAAACCCTTTGTTTCTAAACTCAGAATAAAAGCCAACACCCTTCTATTATCTATCAGGAATGCTGTCTTAGTCCTTAAATTTCTGTGCTATTTCCCGAACATACCTGACACTTGAAATTTACTTTGCCTATAATACTCTTCCCTAATTATCTGTTCCCTTCAACACTTTGGCCACAACACCAGAAATTCAGTGATTCTCATCACCCTATTCTAAAATAAACAATCCATATATGTAATTCCTATTCCCTTCCCCTGCTTTAATTCTTCATTAGCACTTATCAAAATCTGACATACCCTTTAGATTTAGTTGTTAATCCCTGTTTGCTATACTATCAGGTATACTGCACAAGAGCTAGGACTTATATTCTCTACAGTACATCTCTCAGCTCCTTACAGCATACCTAGTGCACAGGACACATTCAATAAATACTTACAAACGGGAAAATGAGGGAGAAAGCTTCACAAATCAGAAGCGATAGTAATGGAATTCTATGCAAGAAAGACTTCCACAGCAATGGCAGAAGTGGTCATTACTACTCAGCCCCAACAAAAAATGTTATATATAACATATACAAAACAAATTTACTAATATACAAAACAAGTTAACAATCCATTAAGTTAAAGCCTACTGGCTACTTGGACAGCTAGAAGTTTAACTAAGGACACACAACTGGGAAGATCCTCAGAGATCATACTACTATCAGGCATCACCGTAGGGTTGCTCTGCCTCAGCAATATTTCCTAAAAATACTCCTAGCATTTCTCTCTATTCCATCCCTAGAAGTATAGAGGGCAATTTCACAGCAAGAATCAATCCAATAGAAGTCCTGGAATTAAAACAATGAACCTTAATGTGCCAGATCAAAATAGTTAATCCTAAACTGAAATACTAAATAAATATTCCTAGAATTTTTAGAGCTCCCTGAGGCACTGTTCAGACAATTTTTCCTACTTTGTTTTGCTGCGTAGCATATCAGAAAAGCAAATATGGTAGTGCACAGCACAGTAACATATGCCAACTCTAAGAGAAAAGTTCCATTCTTAAGAGATTATTCTAGCACTGGTCCAGATAGATTAGACTTTGGATCACAAACATTTCATACACAATCAACTAAGTTGTAGAAAGGCAAAAAATCATCTTTCCAGAACATGTCTTTTAAAGCCTGAGCATTCGAAATTTAACTTTACATACAAAAATTCCTAAATAATCACAGCTTACTGGAAAACAGAAAAGTATTGGGGGAAGGTAGAAACAGATGGGGAACCACTTGTATTATTAGACCGAATATAACATACAAAAGCCAAATGTATTCTTGAACCTCAATGAAAACTATAGTCTATTTCAAATATATGCTTTTATTTTACAGAGCAAATAATAAGACTATTTATAAGTAGTTGAGTCGAAACTTACTTTGCCATATCTCTAGCCAATTGCATAAAACGCTCTCCATCCGATGGAGACAAAAGATTTAAAATACGCCTATAGCCATCCATGGCCATTTTATGATCACCCATCTGTTCATAAAGACTTGATCGCTCCCACAGGTAACGGATATTAGTAGGGTCATATTTAAGAGCTGAAAAGAAAGCAGTACCAATTACATATCACAAAAGGTGGCACCTAGTACCTCAATGTAAACTGTCACAATGTCAGAATACTTAATAAGCACTCTAATTTTCCAGTTGAATCAAGGGAATTTTCCTGGAATAAAACTATTTTCAAAGGAACTCACATTGGTTTGATTTAAAACTACATAAAAATCTCTAATCTTCATTACTCTAGTCTGCTAGTCTGAAGTTAACACAAAGAACAGCCGAGAACCAACACTGATCTCAGTGAGTAACAAAGTACCAGTCACCTACCAACTTCTGTCCACACAGGAGCTTATTAGCTGTAAAGTCCCTCACAACAGATCTCAAATACTAATCTCAGGTGTCACAGAATAAAAAGAACAGATATATTTTACCTAACATCAACCCAGGGCAGCAAACACAATTAACAAAAAAGTCCATTATATAACATATAAGCGAAGAAAAGTATTTTCTTACCTTTTGTATAGCAAAAACTAGCCTGCTTGATATTGTCTCGTTCCAGAGACATTTCTGCCAATCTAACCCATTCCTCTGTGTCGCTGGGATTTAAATGTGCAGCAATCAACTCAAACTGCAGTGATCTGTCCATGTCACCTTGGTCTTCATATATCATGGCAAGAGTAGAAAATGGCTCATAAGCTAGAGGAGCTGCAAGAATTTTAATAAATAAATTACATTTACTGAGGGAAGAGATCTGAGCTGATGTTAACCATATGGTTCATACTGGATTCTTTTAATATCTAAATTTTTTTTAAAGATTTATTTATTTTTATTGGAAAGGCAGATATGCAGAGGAGCAGAAACAGAGAGGAAGATCTTTGGTCCAATGGTTCACTCCCCAAGCAGCCGCAACCGCTGCAGCTGAGCCAATCCAAAGCTAGGAGCCAGGAACTCTTCCGGGTCTCCCACACGGGAACAGGGTCCCAAGGCTTTGGGCTGTCCTTGACTGCTTTCCCAGGCCACAAGCAGGGAGCTGGATAGGAAGTGGTGCCGCCAGGATTAGAAGCAGCACCCATATGGGATCCGGTGTGTTCAAGGCAAGGACTTTAACCACTATGCTACTGTGCTGGGCCCTAATATCTAAATTCTATATGTACAAACTAAATGAGTTTAAAATGAATACTGTATTTGCACACACAATTTTCTATAAGCAAAATATAATTTCATCAAAAAATTACTTTCAACAGCCCCCCTTCACTAATAGCTAAACATGGTTTAGTAACTCCGAGGTTTGTTCCTCTTGACATAAGCCACATTTCGGGGTTCACAGGTCTGGATCTGGCTCCCACAGCAGGGTGGAGGAGATGAATAAAGAGAAGGCCCAAAGCAGGACAGCAACCCAGAACAGTCAATTGAATGGTGAATCTACATTTCTGAAACTATCTCCAAAACAAAATGTAAAGGTTGTTAGGGATTACAGCCTCAAATACCATCAAAACTAAAAAACAAAACTGAAACAAAGGAACAGTTAATATTGGAAAGCAGGACAAAATATCCTGAAGGAAAATGGTTTACTAATCCTATTTCTGGGAATACAAAAAGTAGCAGTCTCAAAGTACACCGCCAAATAAGTCAGGAAATTAGCGTAAGATTTCTAAAAGGACTCTAACTAAAATCCTGTTTGCTGGCTGTCACTTGGCAACACTTTAGGAAAACAAAAATAAGTAATTAATCACAAAAATCTCCTGAAAATATCCTTCAGTACACCATAGATGTGCTGTTGAATACGGAGGTTAGATATGAAGTTTAAAGTAAATCTTCAGAGGCCAGAATGTGGCACAGGGGGTGAAGCTGTTGACTACACCACCAGGATCCCATTTGAGTCCCAGTTGCAACACTTTAAATCCAGCTCCCTGCTGGTATGTCTGGCAAAGTAGCACAGGATGACTCAGACACTTGGCCCTTGACACCCAAATGGGAGACCCAAATTTTAGGCACCTGCTTTTGGCCTGTCCCAGCCCTGACTGTTGCAGCCATTTAGGAATTGAACAAGCAAATGCAAGATCTGTCTCTTCTTTAATTCTGCCTTTCAAATGAATAAATCTTCTTTTAATTTTAAAAGTATGAGGTCCTGTTTCCCAAAAAAAGAAAAATCAAATATACATGCACATATTTAATATTTGATACGTATACATCAAAAGAAAAAATCATCTAGCACTAAACTAAAAAAAAAAAAAAAAAGATTACTCTTCTACCTCCAAGCATCAGCATTTGAGTATCGCCACCGGTTCTAATCCCGGTGGCTCCACTTCCCACCCAGCTTCCCACTGTAGCCTGGGAAAGCAGGAGAGGACGGCCCAAAACCTTGGGACCCTGCACCTGTGTGGGAGACTTAGAAAAAGCTCTTGGCTCCTGGCTTCAGTTGGCTCAGCTCCAGACGTTGAAGCAATTTGGACGGTGAACCAGCGGATGGAAATCTATCTCTCATTCTCTCTGTAAATCTGCCTTTCCAAAATCTTTTTTTAAAAATTAGAAAATATTTTATGAGATCTGTATTTACATAATCTCAAAATTTCTCCCTCCTTCACAGTTTTTAAAAGTGGCAGCAATTAACTTTAGGGTAGAGAAACCTAGAGAACAAAACCAACCCAATTGTCAAACATAAAGTCACCAGTAACGGGAAGAAGGAAGTGCTGCTGAGTGAATACTGAAAGGCAGGTTTGCTTATGCCTCATTCCTACAGAAATCTTGCAGCCTAATCATGAGGAAACTGAAAAAGAATCCAAACTGGGGCAGCATTTTACAAATTAACTGGCTTGTTCCCTTCACATGAACATAAAGGGAAGACAGAGCAACATTCCTAAGAAATGAGACATAAAAGGACATATTTTAGGCCAACTGGAGAACTGAACTATGGACTTTATCAAATTTCATTTTTAGTATTGTGGTTTTAAGAGAATGTCATTTTATGTAAGCAATGTACCAAATAGAGGGTAAAGGCCCATGTTATCTCAATTTCTTTCTGATCACATGTGTGCATACATGTGTGAGTATATAAGTGCAGGAGAAACCTCATGTATGGTATGTGTGAGAATGGGATGGAGACAGCGGTACGGACCAAATGAGACAAAGTATCAAAGAACAGTCAATCTGAGTAAAAGACATACAGTTCTTCTTTGTCACATTCTTGCAACTTTAGGTAAGTCTGAAGTAAGTTTAATATAAAAATGTAAGGAAAAAAATAATCTAGTAGTGCCTGATTTGGAAAACAGAATAAGAACACCTTTCAAGGGGTTTTAACACAGTATGTCTGCTGAGGAGAATCAAGATGGCCGAATAGGGTAAGGACACATTTAAACAGAGAAACATTTAATCAGGATGAAGCAGAGAGGACACATTTCAGGAAATAGGAGAGGACAGAACAACAGCAGAGGAGTATTTGGAGACTGACAGACACAGGAAAGCAACGGACACAACGGTGTGGTGTTGCAGTGACTGGTACTGCAGAGGCATTCAGCTAACAGCAATCTGAACTCCACCAGCAGCTGGAACTCCGCCAGCAACCAGGTGGGAAGGGACTTCACTGGGAGCCTGGGAGGTGAACCCACAAAAAGAACTGGGTCCGTCCTGCTGGTCTGTTTAATTTGACCAGGAGCAGAGACAGAGCAGCAGATCCCAGAGGGGCAGTGCGAGAACAGGGTGGATTTCATAGCCCAGTCAGCCCCCTAGAGCTGAATTGGGCACCATTTTGCATGAGGAGGCAAAGGCAAGGGAAAGGATGGAGCATGCGCTGAGCTGAGAGTGAACTCATTTCTGACTCAGTGAATTGCATCAATGTGGCATTCTACAGGTTCCACCCAAGACAGGTCTGGGTAGCGCTCAGACCTGATGGCCAGCAGATCCAGAATTTGAGCAGTGGTACATCAGGCACCATTTTGTACACAGTGGCAGTAGCTTTAGGACTTCAGGGGATAACAGTGAACTGCGCATGCGCTGATCTCATGAAAACGCGCTGAGTTCAGCAAATTGCACTGGTCCTGCAAGAAAATAATACCAACTGTGCCACTGTACCGGTCAAAATAGGTCCGTATGGACCTAATGTCCAACAGGTTCCAACAAGATCAGCACCACCAACAACCTAATTAGATAGGACACCTGGTGTCTCTCTAATCCTGGGACCTGCTCCAACCAAAAGTGGGAGAAATTTCAGTTGCAGAGTCAACGGTGCAGCCTCAGCAAAATATCACAGGAAGAGGAGAGTGGTGAGCCAGGAGCTGGGGCTGTGGAGACAATGGTGGAAATCTGACATAAGAACCCAGACCTGAAACTTGCTGGAGATTGTGCACTAACTGCAATAAGTAAAATCGCATTGTAGACCTGTGGATGACACAGCTTAGAAACCTGTCCCAAGGAGAAGACTCTGATAACCAGAAGTGCAATGACCAAGAGCAAAAGAAGAGACAAAGGCACAATGAATATTACGGAAAACTCCCCTGCAAATGAACAAAACCCTTTGCCAACCTCAGAGTTAACTGAGGAAGACATCGAGAAAATAGGGCATACAGAATCCATAAGACTCATTTTAAAGCTTCTGATCAAAAATGAGAAACACATACTGAGTTCAAAGAATTTAAGGAAGCAATGTATCAAATCAAGGCTGATATATCAGAAATTAAGAACACAGTAGAGCAAATTAAAAGTACAGTGGAGTCTCCAAAATAGAATGAAGCAAGCAGAAGGGAGAATCTCAGAATTGGAAGATATTTCCTGTCATCAGAGAGAAGCAAACAAAAAGCTGGAAGCAGAGCTGGATCAGGCCAAAAAAAAAAAATTCACGTATTGAAAGACATTATTAAGAGGCCAAATATAAGAGTATGGGAGTCCCAGAAGGTGCAGAAAGAGAAGCAGAGTTTGCAAATGTATTTAATGAAATAATTAAGGAAAATTTCCCTAATCTAGAGAAAGAATTGGGAAACAACATCCAGGAGGGGCACAGAACTCCCAACAGGCTTGATCACAAGCGATCTTCACCAACACACATGATCATCAAGCTCTCTTCACTTGAACATAAGGAAAAGATCCTTAAATGTGCACGTGAAAAAAATCAATTGACATATAAAGGAATGCCAATGAAACTCACAGGAGATCTCTCTCAGGAAACTCTACAGGCAAGAAGAGAATGGAGTGACATATTCCAGATTCTAAAAGAAAAAATTTGTCGGCCTAGGAGAACATATCCAGCAAAGCTTTCTTTTGTCCTCGAAAATGAAATAAAATTCTTCCAGAGTAAAGAAAATTTGAAAGAATTTGCCTCTGCCAAACCTACCCTACTAATGTTACTTCAAGATGTTCTCTTGGCAGAGAAGAGGAATATCACCTACCAAAACCAAACGCAAATGGGAAGAACATCCCAGTAAAATGAAAACAGAAGACTAAACCAATGAACAACCCATCCTAAATTGACAGGACCAAAGTACCACCTATGCATACATGTTAAACTCTGAATGTAAATGGCTTAAGCTCAATCAAACATCATAGATTAACAGACTGGATTAAAAAACAACACAACATCTATTTATTGTCTAGAAGAGACACAGTTCAACAAAAATCAGCGGAAACTATATTGCATGGATTTTGTTGTTTTCTGTTAGTTTCATGTCTTCAAAACACTTTCTTGTGATTAAATCATTCAATGACTCATAGATCATACAGCAGCATCATTTTCTCCACGAAGGTTCTGATTTTCATTTCTTCAGCTACACGTTAGGCATTTTGTAGCATGTTATTTTACTTCATGGTGTGGTTGATTTTTTTTTTTCTCTCATGTTGATTTTGTTTTGTGGCTCTTCATTTAAGGGGATGTGTAGTAGCTGTGTAATGGAGACTGTCATATCTAGTAACATGTCATTTAACTTCATGGTGCTGTAAATTTCTATTTTTCTTTGTATTGTTTTTGTATTATGACTTCTCATTTAAGGAGATGTACAGTAGCTGTAAAATAGAGACTAACATCCAGATGTGAGGATACAATGTAGTATGCATTTCTACTTCCAACAAAGATGGACCTGCAATGAAACTGTGTGCTGTATCTTGACAATAGGATGGTGGACTCTCTGCCATTGTCCCTGCCCGCAATGATGGACATATGATTGTGTATAAAGAACTATATCCTAGCAATGATATAGAGGAACTAGGGGGGGAGGGTATTAGGGAGGGGGTAAGGTAAATGCCAGGAGCCTATGGAACTGTATCATAAAATGATAACAATAATAAAATCTTTTAAAAAAAACACAGTATGCCTGCATATTTAAAAAAGAGTAACAGTGTAGAAGTCTAAAACCCTTGCTGTTAATACACAAAAAAAACCTATCAAAACTTCAATAAATATTAATATTTCATTAATTCAGCCTGTGTGATTTTCATTTTCTTGGTAATAATTCCTCTTCAATGTAAAAACTAGCGTATTACTATTAATACAATCACCTGCAGGTTTCTGAATGTGTCTTCCAATTAGTAGAGTTTTCTTTTATAAAAGTCAGACTCTTAAACTGCTGTTATCAGGGAGGCCCCTACAGAAAATACCTTGTCTTATGATTTCCATGCACATCAACACTGCCTCCTGATGCTCTCCTCGAGCAAAGCGGATATTGGCTTCTCCCATGAGACCTCTCAGAGCTCTGGGAAGTTTACTCCGAGGTCTTTTCTCCTGTGTAGAAGAAAAACAACATTTCAGTGAAAATATAATGCAATCAAGAATTCAACTCTAGTCATATTAATACAGAACATACTAGACCTAAAAATGTCCTTTGAAAAATATCCTTAAATCTTCTAAACATAGAACTAGGAACTACATGGCAATAATTCTGAGTTTAAGAATAAAATCTACATTACAGGAAAAGTCTAAAAGTCAACTGCAGTAAACAACAGAGTAAATCTCAAAAAAAAAAAGCATTGTGGTAAAAGTTCAAAGCATAGTAAAGCATACAAAGAATTACAAAGGTACTAGGGCAGAATAAATTGTGTCATAAAATGAATTTATATATGATAACTTATTATGTAAACAATCTACTAGAGACACTTCTTTCAAATTTACAAAAGTTGAAAATTTGGTTAAGGGCCCAGCTCGGTAGCCTAGCAGCTAAAGTACTCACCTTACCTGCACCAGGATCCCATATGGACGCCGGTTCTAATCCCAGCAGCCCCACTTCCCACTGAGCTCCCTACTTGTGGCCATGGCACAGTAAGCTAACCCTCCACCTGAGGAACCAGCATTCCATATGGGCAGTTTGTGTCCTGGCTGCTCCATTTCCTGATCCAGATATCTGCTTATGGCCTGAGAAAGCAGAAGATAGCTCAAGACCTCGTATCCCTGCACCCATGTAGGAGACCCATGTGGCTCCTGGTTCCAGATCAGCTCAGCTCCAGCCATTGTGGCCATTGGAGAAGTGAACCAATGAACCTTTAAATCTTTCAAATAAATAATAAATTAAGAAGTTACAGATTTTTAACTTAAAAATTACAGAACAGTTTAACAGATGCAATCTTTGAGGTTTTACATAAAAATTCTCCAAAAGGAAATATACAAATAACAAAATTTCCTTTCTTATATTTCACATTGCTTCCCAGAAGCAACTTAAAGATCTTTCTCAATATATATAATCTTCCTACACTCTGTGTATAAAGATAAAGTGAATAACAACTTACTTTCATCATTTTCTTGGTTTCACGATTCAGAACCATCTCCAACACAAATACATCGCCTGCTGTGGGTTGCTCAGGTGTTTCTTCCTCCTCCTCCTCTTCCTCCTCCTCCTCTTCCTCTTCCTCATCTTCATTCTCTCCAAGCATGGAAGCAAAGACCTTGTGAACTGATTTACTCACTCCATCTGATGTTTCCCCTAAGGAAAGACACAAGCAGATTGGTGGGGGCAGGAGAATGCATTTTTGGAGAATAAATTTCTACCCCAGCAACATTAAATTATACAGTAGTAAATGAATACTTCCAAAAAACTCAAAGAATAAAACTGTGACAACTCATGTATTTTCTCTGTAGGAATGGCTTATTCAGGGCAGTTATCTGGCCTTACATGTGGGACACTTGTTTCCCTTATCAAAATGCTTGGGTTGAAATCTTGGCTCTGCTCCCAATTCCAGCTCCTTGCTAAAGCACGCCCTTAAAAGTATCTGCTGATTATGCTAATACTTGGGTCCTTTAACCCTTATTGGAGATCCAGATGGAATTCTTAGCTCCCAATTTTATCCCAGCCAAGTCTTGGCTGATGTATCATCTAGGGAGTGATTCAGTGGATGGGAGTTTGCTTGCTGTGTCTCAAATAAGTATTAACAAGAGGAGGAGAGGGCAGTGGGGGTGGGTGGATAGCATTGTGATATAGTGGCTAAAACCGCCACCTGCTGCTCCAGCATCCCACATGAGCACTGCTTCAAGTCCCAGCTGTTCCAATTCTGATCCAACTCTCTGCTAATGCATCTACCAAAGAGCCCCTGTGCTTAGGCCTCTATGCTCACGTGTGAGACACAGAAGAAGCCCAGTGGTTTCAGATCAGCCCAGTTCCAGTCCTTACAGTCATCTGGGGAGTGAACCAGCAGATAGAAGCTCGCTCACCCGCCCGCCCTCCCTCCCTCTCAGTAAATCTGCCTTTCAAAAACATCTGAAAAGAGGGGAGGGAGGGAAAAAAAAGAATGAGTCATACTTCAGACCTCAATCATATGGAAAAGCAAAATTAAGTGGAAAATTAGAAACATAAGCTTTAATAGTCAAAACAGATAAAAATAAAAGAATTATAGCCCGCCATGTCAGCCATTAGGAAGTGGAAGCTCTGCACTTGCCCATGCTCAGAGGCCTCACCAAAGGCCACAAAATAACCAAAAAGGAGGAGCAGGTCAAAGTACAACCACGGGCCCGGCGCAGTGGCGCAAGTGGCTAAGTCCTCGCCTTGCACGCCCGGGATCCCATATGGGCGCCGGTTCTAATCCCGGCAGCCCCGCTTCCCTTCCAGCTCCCTGCCTGTGGCCTGGGAAAGCAGTCGAGGACGGCCCAAAGCTTTGGGACCCTGCACCCGCGCGGGAGACCCGGAAGAGGCTCCTGGCTTCGGATCGGCATAGTATCGGCCCGTTGCGCTCACTTGGGGAGTGAATCATCGGACGGAAGATCTTCCTCTCTGTCTCTCCTCTCTGTATATCCGCCTTTCCAATGAAAAAAATAATAAAAAAATAAATCTTAAAAAAAAAAAAAAAAAAAAAAAAAAAAAAAAAAGTACAACCACGACCACTGGTGCCTTCCCAGCTGCACCAAGTCTGTGCAGGACCCCATCCAGGAGGTGTGTGGCTTTGACCCATACAAACACTATGCCACGCAGCTGCTCAGGTCTCCAAGGACAAATGAATCCTGAACTTCATCAAGAATAGAGCGGGGACACATCCCTGTGTCAAGAGGCAGGGGAAGGGGCAGAGCTGTGTCCTGGCTCCAACAGGAAAGCAAGTAGCTGCCAAGGAGGACTGGTGCCTCTCTCCTTGCATAACAAACCTGTCCAGGTCCTCTCCTAGGCAGTGGAGAGAAGGGCAGGACACTGAAGCAAGCAGTCAATGATACTGGAAATGGCTTTCAATCATAATTAAACAGTTCACAAGCACCTCCCCAACCCCAAATTATAAAACAAAACCGTAAGAATCCAACAAGCCTTATGGCAGAAACCATATACTATAGCACAGTGGTTAAATGTAGGATGGGCTATTGGATCCCTGACACCAGCCACCACATGCTTGTAGTGAGCTGTCCCCGGGCCTGCCTGGGCTCCGGGGCCTGCTCCCTTCAGGGTAGTACACCAAGGGGGAAGTCTCCTGGGCTGGACTGGATGGATCCCAGGACCTGGGGCCCACCCTCCCACCCTCATTGAGCAGTGGACAGGATTGGGGAGGGGCACAACCTTGGGCTTGGGGGTTTAAACTTCCTGCAGCCTCTCAGCTGTTGGTGGGTCTCAGGCCAGGGCATCTCATACCCATCACTCGTGCACATGGTGAGCTGTCCCCGGGCTGGCTGCCCCAGCCAGAAACACTGGGGTTTTAGTTCTTTGAATCGCTGCTTAAGTAGCTCCAGGTTGAACACATTGTACTTCTGGGATATGAATTAAACCTAAAGATTCCCAATGACAGTAACTCTTCCTTTGAAAAACTTGTAATCACTGGACAATGCTGAGCACCGAACACCAGTCCATGCCAAAGCTAAGGCTGGGGGTTTGTCCAACAGAATATCTTATTACCTGACATGATGATGGATCAGGAGACAGGTCACATTAGGCAGGGCCATGACATTAACTAGCACTCAAGAACCATATCTGGGGGTAGATTCTGTGGGGGATGTGAGGGCCAAACCCTGTGGAAATTCTAGCCCCACTGGTTAGCTCAAGAATTGGGGTGGTGATGGACTAAGCTAGGTGTGACCAAGGAGCCTGCCATCAATCACTGGTAAAGGAACTGAAAACAGTCTGGAATGGTCAAGGCACCAGCACCTGAATGTGCATCCTGAATAGGGGTGGAGTGGGCTGCAACGTTCATCAGCTCATACAAGGCCAAATGGAAGGCCAGACTTCGCCGGGCACTGGCCTAAACCCAATGGCATGTATGAGAACTGGGTCTGGGAGTGGATTAAGTGGAGGAACTTGGGAAACTCCCCTGGCAAGTCATAGCCTCCACTGGTGAACATGTGGTCCAGACCTGGGGGTTGGACAACCTGGGAAAAGTAGCTCCAACACCTGGCTAATGTGTGAATTGGTAATGGAACAGCGTATACTTGGCAGGACTGAGCAAACCTTACCCCCCAAGCAAAACTAGAAACCAGGAGGGAGCACAGCTCATGCTGAGCTAGGCTCTTGCTCCTACTGGTCTGCATGAGCCAGGGACGCTAAGCCACAGTGTCTAAGGCAGAAGTCGGGACAAGCGAGGAGCTGAGCCAAGCTGAGTCAGAGCAACCACTGGCATGCGTGTGATCTATGGCTGGGAACAGGCCTGGTTGGGGAGCTAAGGGGACAACCCTAGCTGGGTTGAGGTTCCCACCAAGGGGCATGTAGGCTGGAATGGGGCTGCATTCTGATCTGGAAACAGTTGTAGTCTCCCTTGGCACAAGTGTGGACTGGGACTGGATGTACCAGGCTGGGCCAGACCCCAACACCCTCTGGTGTCCTGGAGGACCAGGGTAGATGTATGACGCACTAGGCAAGGTCTCAACCCCCTACTGAGCAATGTGTGAGCCATATGTGGGTATGGACTAGATGCGGCTGGGCTGAAACATCCAACAGCAAGGACCAGTTTGGGTTGAAGGCCAGTCAGAAAAAGCCACTGTTTCTGCTAGGACCGGAGGTGAACTGAGTAGGGCTGGCTCATGGTTTCCCTGGTATGCACAAAATCTGGCATTGGGAGAGGTTCTGATGGAGGAGCCTGGGCAACTCCTCTGGCAGGACACAGACCTGGCACGTTAGCGCAAGAAGCATGATAGGAAACAGCCCAGAACAGGCCATGGAAAGTTTCCGACTGGCATACATTTGGCATGGGTCGGGGGAAGACCAGGCTGAATCTGTCCACGTCATCCACTGGCAAATCTGAGCACCAGAACAGAGTGTGGGCCAAGCCGGGTTCGGTCACAACAGAAGCTAGTGCACAATAAGGAATGCCAAGGTGAGGTTGCCTGTACTGGATGTGACTGCAGCGCCCAACCAGCATGCGTGAGAAGCAGGAAGGGAGGGGGCAGAGCTGGCAAGGGGAATAAGGGTGCGGGTCCCCTTCCAGGACAGCTACTCCCACTGGAGAGCGTGGGCTGGGATGGGGACAGACCAGACGAAGCAGGGCTACAACACCTGTGTGCCTCATGTGGACTAGATCAGGGAAAAGCCAGGCTGGGCTGATTATTTCTAACTGGTACAAACAAAACTAGGGTGGGTGAGGGTTGTTTGGGCTTATCTGTAGCATTTGCTGGCAGAAGCCGGCACTGGGGGCTAATTCTGTCAAGTCAAACCATAGAACCACCTGGAGAGTGCATAATCCAGGAGTGGCCTAGAAGGGAAATAGTGGGTTCCTCCCTCTTGAGTTATCATGCCCACAGGAGAGCACAAAAACTAGGACAGGGGCTGGGATGGCTAGACAAAGAGGCACTCAACAGCATCTGTGTGGGCTGCATACTTGAACTGGTTAGACGGAACTAAGCTTCAATACCCATCTACATGCATGAGAGCCGAATGGGATGTAGGACAGATTGGACTAGTCTGCTACACATACCTGCAAACAAGGGTGGGGGGGTGGGCCCGGTGGGGGTGCTTAAGGGGTCTCTGACTAGGTTGCAGCTCCCACTGGTTTATGCGAGGGCCAAGTATGTGCTGGGCAGAACCAGACTGGACTGCAACACCTATTGGTTCCAGTGGAAGTCGGGGCTGAAAACAGAACCCAGCAATGGCAACCACCAGCTGATCGGGGCGATGGATTGTGCCAGGCCCTGTACTTGCTAGTACATACAAGAATGTACTAACAGTACAGTGTGGCCTAGCGGCTAAAGTCCTCGCCATGAAAGCGCTGGGATCCCATATGGGCACCGGTTCTAATTCCATCAGCTCCACTTCCCTTCCAGCTCCCTGCTTGTGGCCTGGGAAAGCCATCGAGGACGGCCCAAAGCCTTGGGACCCTGCACCCGTGTGGGAGATCCGGAAGAAGTTCCTGTCTCCTGGCTTCAGATCAGCATAGCATCGGCCATTGCGCTCACTTGGGGAGTGAATCATCGCACGGAAGATCTTCCTCTTTCTCCTCCTCTCTGTATATCTGACTTTCCAATAAAATAAATAAATCTTTTTTTAAAAAAAAAAAAAAACAACAAGAATCTGGTCTGGAAACACCTCAGACAAGGTTTCTCTGGGGATCTCCCCAATTGAAATGCTAGACTCAGAACCCTAACCAAGAAGAGAAAGACAGAACAGGTCAATCAACTACCTCAGCTATACACTGGGCAAACGGAGACTCAAAGACGGACTATGCCAATCAGTGGATTCTTCAACAACCTCATCGTGCTTGGAATGGCGAGACTGGCAGCGATTCATAACTGGTGAACTATCAAAACCACTTGAGCAAGTATCTCAGAGCATGTACCACATCTGGGACCTGGGGTGGGTAGGAGACTGGGTGGGCTTCTCCCTCAATATCCCCCTTTACCTCAGATACATGAAGGAAACAATATGGAAATAATAGTCTTACCCACTTTCCTATAGCCCTTGAATCCTTTTATCCTAATTAACTACGTAGATTGTCAAAAATATAACAACAAAAATGGGGAAAAAAAAAAAAGTAGGATGAGCTATCAAGAAAAATGCAGTTTATGAAATAAATGCATGGATTTCATAGTTGTCTGTGCCAAATAAATGTATCTTTTAATTCCATTTTCTCTACAAACCTCATATGCAATCAGAAATACCCATCATAAACCAGGTGTTTGGTAGCAATTAAGTTGCCACTTGGGACACCTACAGCCATATTAGAATGCTTTGCTTGTGCCCTGGCTACTGCACTTCAATCCTAGCTTCCTGCCAATTCACACTTTAAGGGCAGGAGACAAGGTTCAAGTATGTGGGTCCCTGCCAGCCACCTGGGAGGCCTGGATTGAGTTCTAGGATACTGGTTGTTGAGGCCCATCCTCAGCTGTTGTGAGCACTTGGGGACTAACAAGCAACATCTCTGACTCTCCCTAATTCTGCTTTGCAAACAATTAAGCAAAACTGCATGTTCTGAGTAACATATCATTATTATGAAATCAGAGGGGTCATATTTAAGAAGCTCAACCACTAAGGTTGAAAAAAATGTGTAAAATTTATGAAACAGAAACAAATGAGAAAAATCATAATTATTTTGACACTAAGAAACACTTGATTAAATCTAATATTGATACCCAATTTTAAAAACTTCACTATAAATGAAAAGGAATATTTGTAACTTAATGAATATTGTCTAAAAAGTTTTCCACCAACAATTCTGAATTACTAAAGTTACAGGGAATGAGATAAAAATGCCTGCTATCAACAACTTCGTTTCAATGAAGGTCTGAGTCAATGCAACTAAAAAAAAAATTCATGAAAGATACAAAAATAGTAAATTAATGTCACAGATACATATAGAAGATCCAAAAGAACCTAACGGACTACATGAATTTTGTGAAGTTGCTTGAAATAAGGTCAGTATGCAAAAATTTATTTATTAGCAACAATGGATCAAAAGTCAATGATCCTCTACATAATGTGTAGGGAAGTCACTTAAGGGCAAGAATTTGGCAGTAGTATTCACCAATGCCCTAGAGGAAAAGTTAAATTGCTCCTACTAGCCACTTATCTCTATTAGCAGACTTCAATACCTGCTCCTAGTTGCCCCCTCTCCTGCCCTGAATACACACTCACACATGAGAACTTGATGGAGTTACGGAACTCCTTCCAGGAAAACTGGGAGCTTCCTATCTCAACAGGACTGACAGGCTCGTGAGAGCCTAGGCCTGACCACTGCGGCTGAGCCCGAGTGGACTCGGCCCGCCAGCCAGCGCCTAGGTGCAGCTTGCAGCACTGACTGGCAGGCACCCACTAGCACCTGCTGCTGTAACTGCACCACAGAATCCTGATTATCAAAGAGCATCTCCTCTCCAGGACAGATGACCAAGGTTCCTGACGGCTACCGAGGTGGCCGGAGAAGGGTGAAGTTTGCCTCCAACCAAACCTGGAACGGATGGTGGAATTCTGGAGGGCCCCTCAGGCAGTGAGACCACCTTTGCACCAATGAGGGGCACAGACCCATATCCCCCACCAACAAGGGCCGAGGCGACCCCGTTCCCACGTCAAGGAGAGTTTAAAAGGGCCCCTTCCCTGTCTCCTCTGCACTCTTCTTCCTCTGCAGCCCACTCCTTCTCGTCTGTCCTTTCTGCTGCATGGGAAAGGGAAGCCCGTGACCGTGGTTCCCTGAAATAAAAGCCATCTAAACTCTTTTCATATATTTGGCTGAGTTATTCTTTCCCTGGTGATCGGCGAATCTAACATTTGGCAAGCGGCGAATCTAACAATTCCGAAGTCAAAAGTCGGCTTCCTTTTTCCATCTCAGCCGTCTAGCAAACCAAGAAACTGTGACCCCATTTTTCTTTTTTCCAAACCTTTCTACCCCACTAGGTCCAGAGAGATGGGAATACAGTTTGTTTTGTGCCCTCCTGTCAGTCTCTGCTCTGAGTACAGTTTAGGTGAGTTCTAATCAGCTCCCAGAGAGGATACTGTTCAGCTTGTGAGGGAAACCTGATATGGTTGAATGGGTACCATAAACTGCTGATAACAAAGGCACATCACTAGGAGTCCATTTCCACATTAGGTCATCAATTAGGCTCTGACACCTTTAGTTACTGAATGCACTACTCAAACCTAGTAGCTGAGCATGCTAAGGACAGGATCATAGAATGAAGTCATATACTGAAATATCTATACTGTGTCTGGGGTTCCATCTAAGCAGCCACTAACACTGCAGCCTGACAATTCTAGCTTACGTCACTGTAACCAAAACAGAGGTTTTGAAGTCACTTTTTTTGTTATAGAATAAGTAGTCACCAAAGAGGGCCAATTCAAAAAACACTAATTCTAAAAAAATTGCCTCCACAGAAAACACTAACGTCAATTCGAAACATTTTTCCAGCACCAGAATTCACCTAAATAACCATCAATCGTGAATCAGTAGCTCAACAAATAAGAGCAGGTACTATTTACAAGCACAAGGCTTAGCATAAACAAGGTACTCAGAGTTTCACTGAAATGAAAAAAGCCAATGTATTTTCACTAAATTACTTTGATTTGCCGCCGCTGGCCAACGATCCCCATCCCCCATACCTTCACTGTCCTGTAGTTTTGTGGAGTCAACCCCAGAGGACGATGGGACTTCAGAGTCCTTCGGATGCTCTTCAGCTGGCAACTTGGCTTTTTCCTGTAGACTCCGGGATCAGAAAATCAATGAGCCCTGACGCTGATGATCAGACTAAGCTCTTCCTAAAAGGGGTCTTATTTTCCATTCCTATACAAATTGAGCTGTGCATCATTTCATTAACGTGCACCTAACAGCTCAGAACTTTAAACCAAGGTACCCAGAGCTCCTAATCGCATGCATGCATCGGCAAAGAACTGCCGGCTCATTTTAAGGTTCAATTACTTTTCATTTTCTCTTGCATTTCAAATAAGATAAGCAGGGTTCACGTGTGTGAATATTTATTCTGACGATGGAGTTTTCTTCTGGGTGCTAATTACACAACTCCAGGACAAGACCACTCGAAAATGGAAGCCCGAAGTCTCCGGTTTAGAAACAGAAATGAGGACCTAGAGAGAGGTGGGCCGCCCACTCACGACCCCAGGCAATCACCAAGGCAATCCCACACTGTGACTCCAGGCTCTCCTCCCGCCCGTCATTTAGCCCACCGGCGTTAAGCTACTAAGAAATGAACTTTGGGTATTTATCAAGAGTTCGAGGCCGCTGGGGTCCAGGGACGGGGAGGGAGGTAGGGGTGGCTGTTACCAGAGACAAAGGAAAATGGTAACAGTCTGAACACAGGCGTGAGAGGTACCAACTAGATTTCTGGCGACAACGAGAAGCCGTGGGGAGCTCCTGGCCCACCCGACGACAGCGAAGGGGTCGCCTGGGTCCCCCACCCTATCAGTACCAGGACAAGGGCCTAGTATCGCCTCACTTTCTTCTCGCGGGTTTTCCGCTCTTCTCGTCGCCTCTCGAACTCCTCAAAGGAAATTTTCCCCTCCAGGTAGTCGATGAGCTCGGGGCTGAACCCCGACATGGCTGTGAATCCGTCGGTTCGGCCGCAGCAGCCCGGAGAGCAGACGAGCAGAGCGGCGGTCGCGCACCGAGCCCGGGCGCCGCGGTCCCAGGGTAAATTAGGCCGGCCTTCGCCGCGGCCGCCAGCCCAGCGTTCCGTCTGCGCGCAGGCGCGGCGCGGCGGGGGCGGGGCCTGTGGGTGGATCCAGCCTGTGGGCGGGGCGTCCTCGCAGCCGGCCTACCCGGCTGTGTCCTGTGGGAGGCCTGGATGAAAGGTGTAAAGATATTCTCCTAAATCTTGATGACTGCTCTCAATTCTTCGGGAAGATGTCATAATTCTCACTCTCAATCCATTTCTTTTTTCAAGTGCTAATTTGGTCTTTGGTTTAGCGATTTGTGCCATCACATGGCGGTTTTCACTTGATCATGTTTACCTGCGGGAAAGCTTAAAACCTGCCTGCGGCTTAATCTTCCTATTCCCCCACCCCCTCGCAGCACCTTCCTTCCCCTCCTTTCTACAAATGCTCTCCTCCCTCAGACCCCTCATTCTGCAAATATGCTCACCGGGACCTCATGTTCCACCCCCGCAACACCCCTTTTTCTCATCTTCTCCAGTTCAAGCAAGAATCACGTACTTGGTACGGTTATCATACAGTTTCTCATTTACTCTAAACCAACCCATGTGCTATTCATGTTACATACCTGTCTCAAAATAACCTTGGAAGTGTACGTTTTCTGTCTCTTCTCTCTGTAACTCTTTCAAGTAAAAAAGATAGAAATGTAGCATGGTCTTGTCAGCATGCCAGGGCAGAGGTGAGAGAATTACCAACATGCAGTGTCTGGGTACAGGTGTACTAGGTAGACACACACACTCAAGACTCAGTCCCCACCAGCTGCCAACAGACCCGCCAATGCACAAGTCAATCTACTGTGGGCCTTAGGCTTTCATCGACAGCTACTGTCAATTATGAGGCATTTGTAACTAGAAGCTCTCAGCCCAACACTTTACAAGTGCATAGTGGAGAATCTCAAGTGAACACCGCTCCTTGTCCTTGAAATGGATAAACCTGTAAGGCTGTGACCGCATAACATGGGGGGTTGGTGTGAAAAGAAAAAAAAAAAAAAAGGACAACAACCACCACTGCTAGTTGAGTAAAACTTGAAATTGGAGAAATACTTCCTTTTTTTTATGTCTATTTTTATTTGAAAAGTGATTTCAGAGAGAAATCCTTCATTGGCTGGTTCACTCCCCAACTGGCCACAACAAAGCCAGGACCTTCTTCTGGGTCTCCATACAGGTGCAGGGGCCCAAGGACTTGAGCCATCTTTCTTTGCTTTGAAGAACCTCAGTATCAAAATCCCAACCATTTGTTCATGGCTCACTGCTACTAAGAAACTGTAGGAGCTTGCAGGCTAAACGGCCTGCGTGAGCTTTAGCAGCCTATGTGACCTTTAGCACCAATTGGTCCCAATTCTGATGAATCAAGGCTCACCTAAGTCTGGTTATCTCACAGGTGGCTCCAAGTAATTAAGTTCCCTTAGTTGCTGGAGGCATGGGCTGTCCAGCTGAGAAAGGTAGGGAATATGTGGTATTTCCCCTCACCTTGCAGGCTATTCTGAATTGCCCCTTTTCAGGCTATTGTGGACTGCCCCTATAAAAACCCTATGAATGTGCTATTCGGGGACACACTCCCAGTAAGGGGTGTTGGTCCCGGCCAGCTGTCTGCTCTCAACCAAGAACCCAGGCTCGAATGTGCTGAGCTTCAATAAACTGTCCTTGTTCACTTGGATCGACTTCAGACTCCTGGTGATTTCCAGAGATCTCAAAATCTAGGCACAACAGCTTTCCCGAACCATTAGCCAGAACTTAGGTCAGAAGTGGAGTAGCCAAGAAGTGAACCAGTGCCCATACAGGATAGTGGTGCTGCAGGTAGAGGCTTAGCCTACTACACCATGGCGCCAACCCCTGAAATGTGGCTTACCACTCCATCATTTTTCTAAAACAGCCTCACTTTTATGAGGCTTGGCTCATTAATAATTATGTGTTAGATTGAAAAAAAGTTGACAGTAAGAGAAACTGCAATTATTGTACGTGAAGAACCTAGATGTTTTCTGCTTTTGTGATTCTGCCTTAATTGCTTGGCTGGGGGCTGGGTGAACTCTAGGTCTGACAGTTTACATGACACCCGGCAGGGCACCTGGCAGGTCACGTAGGCAGACCACTTCCCCGGGGAGGAGGTCCCTGGTGTTTGATAAGATTCACCGCCCTATAGCCCATGTACCTTTTGGAAGTTGCTTGCTTCAAACCTGCCAAAAGAAACCTGCCAACTTCTTCTTTTTGAAAGTTAGCAGTTGGGCCCAGTGCAATAGTGTAGTGGTTAAAGTCCTCGCCTTGAATGCGCCAGGATCCCATATGGGTGCCGGTTCTAATCCTGGCTGCCCTGCTTCCTATCCAACTCCCTGCCTGTGGCCTGGGAAAGCAATGGAGGATGGCCAAAGCCTTGGGACCCTGCAGCCACGTAGGAGACCCGGAAGAGCTCCTGGCTTCGGATTGGCTCAGCCCCAGCTGTTGCAGCTGCTTGGGGAGTGAACCATCAGCCGGAAGATCTTCCTGTTTCTCCTCTCTGTATTTCCACCTTTCCAAGAAAAATAAGTAAATCTTAGAAAAAAAAAAAAAAAAAGAAAGTTAACAGTTAAAACTGACCAGTTATGATGCATACTTACATGGAATTGTCCTGAAATGTATAAGAGCCTTGTGCTGTTCAACCTCAGCCCCTTCCCTTCTCTTTTTCTGCCCTGCTGGTCCTGCTGCAGCTGCCCCTCCCCCGCTCAGCCCTAGGCTAACCTGAATAAACCACCTTTATGCATTAGCACCGAATTCAGACTCAATGATTTTCTGGGGATTTCAAAACCCGGCACAACATACAAACAGGCACAAAACCATACATTTACTTCAGCAAGTATTTAATGAATCTTTGCTAGGCATTATGCTAAAAACTGTAACAATAAAGATGAAACTGATATGATCTCTGCCCACAAAGTCCTCCCAATACCCCAGGGAAAACAAACAAACAAACAAAAAACTTATTACAACAGAACACATTAAACTAGGCCCAATCTGTTCTTGCAGAAATAATTTATTCTTGTTATCAGTCATCCATGAAAAAAGCCATGGTAGAGTATTTTGGAATGGACAGCTTGTGCTACTAAGAGACCTCCATTTGCTAGATAGTAAAACATTTGGCAGGAAACACACATACACACACACAAACTATCCAGAAACATACAAGAAATGTAGCCATTCCAATTGAAAAATCTGAGAGTGAGATTAATTCAGTATGAGTTGGGGCAAGGAGTGAAGGCTGGCTGGAAAAGATGGGAGTTTCACCTGTCTCTACCCTCATACAGAAGATGGAGGGGTGGGTTTAGCAAGGGTACTTGCTGCCCCACTGTGTGTACGTCTGTAAGTACTGGCGGCAGACATTGTCCAGAGGCTCTGACAACTTCTAGAACCTCGTATTTCTTTGCTTTTCATTTCAACTTGATTGTATATGTTTGTCACTTACCTCTATTTGGTATGAAATTAAGACTGTAGGATCTTTGAATAATCTGCTGAAACTGGGAAAGCAGTTTCTTTCTTAGGGAAAAAAAATAAATTTTAAAACCAAACTCCTATTGCAATGAGTGAGGTCCCTTTCAGATAAAAATAATGATTGATAAAAGGTGATAAATGTAAAAGGCAAATTTAAGAGACAAGCCTGAAGACAACCTCAAACTGGAAAGTTTATCATCTCTTTTACTTTGTGACATTTTATTTTTAACTCCTACAAATGCACTCAATGTTCTTTGTTAATGCTTAGTTAAGGAAGCAGAAACACTCCAAAACCATATACATAAGGTATGTATATCTTGAAGGTCCACTTATTTATATATACATTTGGAAATGTGGAACAACAGCATTACAAATAAATAAAAATGAGGGAGAAAAATAACAAAGGTGTAGTCAAGGCCATGATTGACTTTTCTAAGAAGCTTCATCTGTGGTTTTGAAATAGCCAGATACCTGAAATAACAAGAAAATGTTACAATGAAAAAGGAAGACTGTGAAACCAACATGAAGATTCCCAGTTCAACTTTTCTTTTTCCTTTAAACTTTTTTCTTTAAAGATTTATTTATCAATCTCATGTCCTAGATATTGTCAGTATTGACTTTTTAAAAATGTTTATTTTTATTGGAAAGACAGATTTACAAGAAAAGGAGAGACAGTAGAGAAAGATTTTCCATCTGCTGGTTTGTTCCCCAGGTGGCTACAATGACCAGAACTGAGCCAATCTGAAGCCAGGAGCCTCTTCCAGGCTTCCTACAGCCGATGCAGGGTCTCAAGGGTTTGGGCCATCCTCCACTGCTTTTCCAGGCCACAAACAGGGAGCTGGATACGAAGTGGGGCAGCCAGGATATGAACTGACACGGGTGTCTGGCGCATGCAAGGCGAGGACTTTAGCCACTAGGTTTCTGTGCTGCATCCAAGTCATCCTATTTTCAATGAAAACTGTGTTTTCTTTTTCTTACCAAAGATGTTGGTAATGGAGTTTTAAATTAACCCGAAGCTTGGCTTTGGGAGCAAGCAGCAGCTAAGACACCCAGGTATCATATGGGAGTGCCAGGTTTGACTCTGGGCTCCAGGCTGCAGACTGCAGCTCCTGGCTCCAGCTACCTATGCAGGCTGACCCTGGGAAGCGGGGGTGATGGCTCAGATCACTGAGTCCTGCACACAGGTCTGTCCCTGGCTCCTTGCTGCTGTAGCCCTGAACCAGCGCCAACCACTGCGGGCATGTGGAGAGGGAATCAGTAGAGGTGATCTTGCTCTCCCTTTCTGCCTCTGAAAAAAAAAAAAAAAAGGAAAAAAGAGGGACTCAACAGGCTAATCTGCCTTGCAGTATCAGCATCCCATATAGGTGCCGATTTGTGCCCTGAACAATCCACTTCTGATCCAGCTCCCTGATAATGACCTAAGGAAAGCAATTGCAGCCATTTGGGGAGTGAACCAGCAGATAGAAGATTCTCTCTCCCTCTGCCACTCCTTCTCTTTGTACACATGTCTGTCTGTCTGTCTGTCTGTCTGTCTTTCTTTCTCTCTCTTTTTTTTTTTGTAGACCTGACTTTCAAATAAAAATAATCATTACAAAGGAAAAAAAGACTATTTCACAAAGTTGTACAGTCCATATTTTTCAAATATCACCAACTGGGTATTTTGTCAATTTCCTGCCCTTTAAATATTACACATTCCATGCTCATGGAAAAAATTATGTTTTCTATTTTTATTTCTAAGGTAAAACTTAGAATTTATAAATTATAAAGACAGAAATTAAGGCTTACCAGCAGCTTGTCTGCCTCATATGAAAGAGGGTTCTCTGGTACTAATAATTACTTTCTATGTTAGTGCCAAAAACCATACGGCCCAAGGGTAAAAGCTAGACCAGGAAAACATTAATGTTATCAGTTGTATTTTCTCATTTTTGGGTAGTAGCCAAGCTCATATTTCAGGTGGTAACCTGCTGTTGTTTTTTGGAATAACAACCACTGTGTTGTCTAAAATAATCATACTTAAAATAACTGATAATAAAAACCTGTGTTTCGGGCTTGGTGTGGTGGCCTAGTGGCTAAAGTCCTGGCCTTGAATGCTCTGGGATCTATGTGGGCACCAGTTCTAATCCTGGTGGCTCCACTTCCCATCCAGCTCCCTACTTGTGCTCTGGGAAAGCAGTCAAGGACGCCCAAAGCTTTGGGACCCTGCAGCCACATGGGAGACCTAGAAGAGCTCCTGGTTTCCGGCTTCGGATTGGTGCAGTACCAGCCGTTGCAGTCACTTGGGGAGTGAATCATTGGACGGAAGATCTTCCTCTCTGTCACTCCTCTCTGTATATCTCTGACTTTGCAATAAAAACAAGTAAATCTTTAAAAAAAATCTAAGTTTCACAAGCGCAATGATTTGCTTTCTCACAATTTCATCCATGCACTTGCAGAACAATGGGGAAAGATTTTAATTATAATTCTATTCGCTTTATTATTCAACTGAATACAAAACTCCTGGACTGGAATCAAAATGTATGTTTCAAATGCACAGTACTTGCTCCTTTTAAATAAGTGTTTGTTTGATAGAAATGTCAAAGTTACAATAGTAATGAAAACTGAATTATAAACAAATATACTTTCAACTTCCTTCCTGTGGGGAAAGAACCATTTTTACTCATATCCCGTTTTTTCCCTAGTTGAGGAAGTTCAAACCCAAAGATACACATAAACTTCCTCCCCAAAGAATTAGTCTTTGATTTTTTATTTGCTACTTACTCCAACTGCTTAATTCCAATACTGATTTATATATGATGTTCTATATAGCTTAGCCATCTAATTTGATATGATTAAGGATGTAAGTAAAACTATATTTCATTTATTTAATAATTCTATTAAATAACAAATTGGGAATTTTATTATTTTATTTTCTCCTCAGAAAACTGTGCTTAAAAATGGGCCCGGTCAATTAAAAATTCACCTACCATATGACCCAGCAATACCACTTCTAGGAATATATCCAAAAGACTTGTTATACAACAAAGCCACATGTACCCCAGTGTTTATCGCAGCATAATCAATAATCACAAGAACTTGGAAGCAACCTAAATATCCATCAACAGAGAACTAGATAAAGAAACGGTGGTTCATCTACACTATGGAATTATGGAATGCTACTCAGCGATTTAAAAAAAATGAAATGCATTACTGTGTGGCCAAATGGGCCAAACTAGAGACCATTATGCTAAGGGAAATGAGCCAATCCCAAAAGGTCAGATATCACATATTTGCTCTAATATAATATAATATGATATCAAATTTAGAGATATCAGATGTGAATCTTACTCTATGCTACTCAATGTTACTTCACACTTACCTATACCTGATGTAACAAGAACTTGTGATGTAATTTATCAATCAACCATCCACAACAGGTTGATTGTTTATAATCACCTGAGATGACCAATGTCCCTTTATCACTGCTACTGGTACTGTCCATAAACACCGAAGACCTAATCCTCACTATACCTACATTAAGGCCTCAGGATACAAGAATTAACCCAGGACGAAATGTCAGTCTCCTACATGGCTGGGAGACACTCCAGTAGAAGCATGATGGACTTGGGAAAATTCACGATGGACACACATTATGAACCTAGAGGGGAGAACAGAATGGAGGGGAGGGAATTTGGGGGAGGGGGAGTGAAGAGCCCACTGCCAACTAAATTGCATCCAAAAACAAACAAAAAACAAATGGGCCTCGTGCAGCTGCCTAGTGGCTAAAGTTCTCGCCTTGCAAGTGCAGAGATCCCATATGGGCACCGGTTGGTACCCCAGCTGCTCCACTTCCCTTGCAGCTCCTTGCTTGTGACCTTGGGACCCTGCGCTCACGCGGGTGACCCAGAGGAAACTCCTGGCTACTGGCTTTGGATCAGCTCAGGTCTGGTCATTGTGTCCACTTGGAGAGTGAACTGCTGCATGGAAGATCTTTGTCTCTCTTTCTGCAAATTTGACTTTCAATAAAAAAAAATCTAAAATAATAATAACTGTCACTTCCTTTTAAAACCAGATTGCAACATAACTGGAATAAATCCAAAAGCTTACCAATGATGAGTATCTTCAGAACTGAGCACTTAATAAGGAAATGCAATCAATTTTAAAATGCACAGTTTAAAATGTCTCCTTTATGGCAGAACTGCACGTTTGGGCAGATCCCAACATGGGGGAGCTATTCTCACCTGCGCTCCAAAGACACTCAGCCTCTGAGTTAACTGGAAAAGGAGTTTTTCTGCTCTTCATAGTCAGCAAATGCAGAGGCAATAAGATCCGACTGGAAAGAGAGGGGTCTGGGATTCTCATTCACGGAGAAAGTGTTTGGAAACCTTCCAAGATCAAGACCTCTGCCCTTGAAATACGCCTGAAGACTTCTGAAAAACTAGAAAGAACACATTCAATGTCATATGTGGAACTGCAAAATTAGAGACTTTTTTTGTACCTGTCTTCTCCCTTGAATTGACGTATAGGTTAATCCAGCAGGTCAGAGAATGAAAGTGAGGAACTAGAGGTATAACCCTCAGGTACTTCTCTTTTCCCTCTTGCCTTCTTTGTGATTCTTCGTGATTCTATTTTCTGGGTGAAAATAGAAGAAAAAATAGCAATGGTATAAGAGCATCAGAGAGGATGCTTTGTGGGGCATTTCTGAACGCCAAGGTCAGAGAGGAAACTGAACTCCACAGAGGTCAGCTTTGTCTCCACTGCCTCTGGTGAGAGCCCAGCCACTGCCTGCTGCAACCGTGTCTTTCAGACATAAGGGTTTCAGAAATAAACAGAGAAGCTGTGCAAAGTGGCATTTATTGCACTGTTGTTTTAGTCCTATTTTGTTTTACTTCACATCTATTTTTTTTTTTTTTAGAAAAACTTATACTATGAAATCACTAACCTGTTCAAAAAAGTTGGCATCTTTTCACTGACATTTTCTGGATAAGAATACGCTGAAAAAATGCCTAGTAAATTGAGAACAGCGCAGAGACGACTTTCAATTTCTGCCACCGTACTTTGTCAGGGCTGATTATATGACAAAACGTTGTATCATAAGTTCAATCTAAACTGTGTAAAAAAGGCAGTTCGATATGAGTTGTATGAAAAGCCTTTTTCTGGTACAGTCCTGATTTTGCATACACACTAAAATACATCTAGAGTCATTGTGTCTATAAGATCATCTACAAATGTCATGTACTGTGTGTGCGTAAGGTTTCTCCTAAACCAATGTTTCTTAGAGGCACAAATTTAAAACAGCCGGTAAAAATGAGAAGGCCAGCCACTAGTCTAGAAAACCCCTGGTTGGGTCCCTTTGGGGAGCCTTTTGAGCCCTAAGCTGCCTTTCCTCCCCCTTGTTCCCGAATGCAGTAAGCACCTGCCCTTGGCAGGCCCCAGGTCCATCCTGCAGCCCAGTGCATCCTGGGGAGGTTCTTACCAGGTCACGGTTTCTAGGGTTGCTGAGTGGCTTCCAATTGTCTTCATTTCTCAGCACAGCTCCATGTACATGCCCAACCAGTCCCAGGATGACAAACAGCAGCACAAGGGGCACCTTGGACATGCTGGAATGAAGCTGACTGGAAGGAGATTGCTGGTAGTTACTGAGCAAGACGGTCAAAGAGGAAAGGAAGAGTAACATTCATAAAGTAGACAAGGGGAAACTAACATTATCAGCTCATCAAAAATTTGCAGCCGTCACTTTGCCAGATTCAGTAGCAAGTGAGACCCCCAAATACAGTTGGCTAGTGTAAAACAGTCCATGATGATTGTCGCTGTCCTGCAGCGATGGACTTGATGCACAGAGCCTGTAATAACAGGTGTGGACTCTGACTGATGGTCCAAAGTTTATTAGTGACATCAGACTTTATACACTGAGGGTCATATGGGATAAGGGAGGAAGTATCGAGCTTATCAACCAAACCCATCAACTGTTTCTATACTTTTGTTTGGAACCCCTTTTGTTTTGTATATTTTACCAAGCATTCTCATTCACCTGCTATCTACTCAACTGTTCTCATACAAATGATATCCAATCAGTTACACAAAAGGTATCCATTCGGTCACATGACTGTGTATGAAGAACTACATTTTAGTACTGATATAGAGGAACTAGGTGGGAAGGAGGGAATTGGGGAGGGAGTAAGGGAAATACCAGGAGCCTATGGAACTGTATCATAAAATGATAATAAAATGTAAAAAAAGCCCGAATATTATCCACTCAATGTAATCCTGTGCTCGCTGACCTTCCAGGGTCATAATGCCCTTCTACAATGATGACCACATTATACAGTGGTGTGCAAAGCAAGAATGAATACAACCGAGAAAATCAAAGCATGGCTTTTTCATTTCCAAATAAATGCACACTTGGTCTCCAAAGAAAGCACAATTCTTAAAGTAACAAACACCAAAAGCAGCCATTAACTATAGTCCTTAAAAATAAAACAAACCTCACGTCAGATACCATCAACTGAAATAACGTATACACACATACACATAACCCACCAGCACTGAGTAGAGATCGTCTTCTACCCCAGGGTGTAGAATGGAAGCTGAAACACTTAGCAAATGCTAACAAAGTTTACCAGGGGCGTTGGCTTTGGCTGGTCCTTGTAAGCTGCCCTGCCTCCACAAGGGGATCCGTGGGTACTTATAACCAGGGCATTCACTGACGTGAGCAGAGAGAGTTCAAAGATAATGACACCCTTCTCAGCCTCGGCACAAAGGCCCTTGAGAAGCATGTCTTCAAGCTCCTTCAAGGGTGGCATGGCATTCAACTAATTCCTCTAATAAAGTAGTCTCTCCTTGAACCACTGAACAGTTCATGTGGATTTTATAAAACACACAAGTCATTTACACGCAGCCAAGTGGCTTTCTCCTTTTTTACTTTTCAGAGGAGGTGTGTACACTGCAGCTGGGACTATGACGAAGATGATCTCACTTAATAGAATGTTCTCTTGAAGACACGAGTTTTTTAAATTAACGGCAATTTCTGAACAGGAAATGCTACTGCAAGAGAAAAAAAAAAGTGCTCTTTTTGACCTACACATTGTATTTCTTCTGAGAATCTCATGAAGTTTTACGGGTTTTCAATAGTGGCATGGTTTCTCATAATACTGCTTGAGAACAGAGCAACACGATGGGGTGTGCTTCATGGAAAAAAGAGCAATTACTCTGCCGACAGCATCTCCCTGCTGAATAAATGCCACCCGTGGAAAATTGTGGGTGCCAGAAATTGGTCTTGATGAATTGTGAAGTTGCTTTTATTCAGTGATTCAGAATCAAATTCAGGACAAGCTCTTTGTTGAAAAGTCTGGGGATCTGATTTGGAAATGACAATCATTTCCTTGGCCTTGGGCATGTCACTGCAACATTCATTCATTCATTCAGTGAATTTTTAAAAAAATATTTATTTTTATCAGAAAGGCAGATTTACAGAGAGAAGCAGAGACAAAGACCGATCTTCCATCTGCTGGTTCTTTCCCCAAATGGCTACAATGGCACAGCTGAGCTGATTTAAAGCCAAGAGCCAGGAGCTTCTTCTGGGTTTCCCCATGGATGCAACGTCCAAAGGCTTTGGGCTGTCCTTCATGCTTGCTCAAACCATAAGCAGGGAGCTGGATTGGAAGTGGAGCAACTGGGACATGAACTTGTGCCCAGATGGGATGCTAGCACTTGCAGGTAGAGGATTAGCCAGTTGAGCCATCACATCAGGCCCCACACAGTGCATTTTTAGAATGCCTACTATGCGCCAGGCAGTGCATTAGGCTTTGAAAACTCCTTATACCATGTTCACTTTCACATTTCTAGGGTCCAGCATTGAGCACAATGACTGTTTTAAATGGGAAAGACTGAATCAATTACAACACATTGTCATAGCCAGTTATCTATGAGTAATTTCTAATTTTAGCTTTGTATGAAACTTTAGTTTTGCATGAAAATACAGCTCATTTGTCTTCTCTTTTAAGAACTTCCCATTTGGGCCCTACACTATAGCCTAGTAGCTAAAGTCTTTGCCTTGAATATGCCAGGATCCCATATGGGTGCCAGTTTGTATCCCAGCTGCTCCACTTCCCATCCAGCTCCCTGCTTGTGACCTGGGAAAGCAGTTGAGGATGGCCCAAAGCCTTGGAACCCTGCACCCACATAGAAGACCCGGAAGAGGCTCCTGGCTCTTGGCTTCAGATGGGCTCAGCTTTGGCTGTTGCGGCCGCTTGGGGAGTGAACCAGCAGATGAAAGATTTTTCTCCCTAATTCTCCTTCTTTGTAAATCTGACTTTCCAATAAAATAAACAACTATATGTTTTTTTTAAAAAAAGAACTTCCCATTTAAGAAATATATGGAGTTCCCTAAAGGAATAACGGATTAAGAGTAACAAATACATACTTTTGTCACATTCGTTAACACTAAGGTGTCCTTAATGGATAAAAGGAATTACATATAAAATAAACTTAACAAAACGTTGCCTCTTAATTTTAAATATATTTAAAATCAGATTCTACTACTGACAGAGCAGATTATGGCATCTTCTGCAGAATGCATCAGCACAGCACTGCAAGTGGGCACTGTGCCAGTATGTGGCCGATATGAGAGAAGAGATAGAGAAGAAGAGACAGAGAGAAAGACTATATATTTTAGGTCCCCAAAACATTAGTTGCTGGTCTAAATTAAACCATTTGGCCTCTACACTGCCAAGAATATTTGTACAAATCAGAATATCACAGGCAAAAGCTTCTTCTACACCCAAAGGCATGTGAACAAAGCTCTTCGCTGGCACTGTTCAGTTAGGAATCACAGGATCATGCAGAGTCTCAAAAAAACCAATAAATACATCTTGATCATTTAACATTACACAACATATTCCATATCAAACCATGGCATGACATCCTATCATTGTAAAATTTTTGTATCCATAAAGAATTTTTTCACTTATTTTTTGATAAGTGCAAACATTGATGACAGATTGTATTTAAATCGTTTTTTTACTTTGATTAAATATGAAAAGCAGGGAGATGGAAATATTCCGTCTTCTGGTTATTTCCCAAATGACCACAACAGCCAGGGCTGGGCCAGGCCCAAACCACGAGCTCCGTCCAGGTCTCCAACATTACTGGCTGCACGTGCAGGAAGCCGGACTAGACGTGGAGAATCTGGGTCTTGAATCAAACATGCTAATATGGGATGCAGATGATCCAGGCAGTAACTTAACCTGTCCCATAAACAATTTTTTTAAGAACAGTGACCATCACAAAAAGGATGTTGATTGCATTACAAATTTTATCCCAGACAGTGCCTAACTTACAAGTTTTGACTTGACCAGATGTGAGAGCAATATATATGTAAGAGAAACCACAGGTCCACTTTTGAGTTGTGATCTTTTCTGGACAGGGACATGCAGCATAATCCTCTTTTGTAAGGTTGGGCAGCAGCAGCAGCCCTGTGGCGATGAGGGAAATAACCAACACACCACAGGAGATGTGTTGCTAAGCTGTAATACTCGGCAGGCAGGCTATCAGTACTCAACGTACTGTTGACTTCAAACTAACCCTGCTGCACTGCAAAACCTTTTCAAATTCTTCCTGTCTCTGTCAGAAAAAAGAAGAAGGAGATGCTGCTTTGTAGCTGTGTTGGGAAGAGGAACATGGATTTCAGTCTCTCTTTCCCCCATTATTTGTAATGTTTCCTTTTTTTTTTTTTTAACTTGAAAGGCAGATACACAGAGAAAAGGAGAGACAGAAAGACCTTGCTTCTGCTGGTTCACTCCCTAAGTGGCCACAACAGCCGGAGATGAGCAGATCTGAAGCTAGGGGCCAGGAGTTCTTCCTTTGAGTCTCCCATGTGGGTGCAGGGCCCCAAGGTTTGGGCTGTCCTCTACTGCTTTCCTTGGCCACAAGTAGGGAGCTGGATGGGAAGTGAAACAGCCAGCTGGGTTTAGAACCTGTGCCCAAATGGGCGTGTGCAAGATGAAGACTTAGCTATTAGACTACCACACCAGACCCTATTTGTAATGTTTCCTTAGTGACGACAAGCACTTTAAAAATAAGGGAAAAAGTGCCCATGTGATTTCAAAGTGGACCAGGCAGTTTTATGTTCATAGTGAAAACTGCTTTTTTGACAGCAGTGATGGATTTCAGTTTGAAGGTGGAATAAAAAAGGGATAAGACAGCTAAATCTCCTGCAAAGTACAGGAGAGCCTAAAGAGCTGTACACCATGGCAGGCACAGCAACCTGGGTGGGCAGGAGCAGAGAAGCTCAGCCATCAGGATGTAGGACCACATAAAGCTCCTGGATCCTGTAAAAGTCAGGGGAGGTGGGAGAAGACCCACAAACTCCCAGAAAGGAAGGAGGGCCAGTGGTAAGTGGGTGGCCTGCCTTCTGGGAGGGCCCTGGCTCTCCAGCCTAGCCTGGCCTCACAGCCTCTGCTCTCATTTCTCACCACTGAGTCTGCGCTGCAGCAGCCTCCTTATTCCTTCTCTAGCCATTAAACATCACAAAACACCTGCGCCATGGTTTGGCTAGGTAGGGAGTGCCAAATATCACACATACTTTACAATCCTAAGGTAAGCTCCTGCTATTTCTTCTGCAAGTAAGATAGAGTAGAAACAGCAAAACATAAAAATCATAACT